ACAATCAAGTATCCTGAAATTTGCTTTAGTTAAAATAGAAATATATATCATGTTGATTGAAACCGAGTTGTCAATTTCCCCTTTAACCTTTTGAAAACATTTCCATTGACGTTTTGATAAACCTTTTCCTATGATAAAAATGTACGATTAGAAAGCAAAAAATATTGATCGATATTTTATGATTAGATTGAATTCGATGTCAATGTGAATGGATTTATGTTTTCTCTTCAATTTAAAATTATTAATTACGGGGTTTCACGCACCTGTCTTTTTGTTTCAACATTAGTTTAGAGAATTTGGATTTCCTATTTTAAGGCCTCTACATGTAGCTTCATCCATGTGTCATGGAAAAACAAAGCAGGAGTTTTATGATGCAGTTTAATTCATTTTTGTTTTTACGTTTTGTATCTATTACCAAATGTGCAAGGTGCACTCATCTGTGTCTGTGTTACAATCATCTTTCAATGTTAATTTTGTTGACCAAAAGAAATAGCAAAAGAGAATATATCTTTGTGAATTAAATTTCTATTCAAGAATGATAGCACTTACTGATTGTCTTTAAGATTCTATTACGTAATAAAATACTGATTCTGAATATCTTGTTTATTTGTTTTTAAAGGATTGTAAACACTTGAATGTTAAATTAAGGCATGTGATTCAGGGTGAAAAACATACAAATTGAGCTGTTGGCTTCGAGGCAACTGGTAAGCGTCATCACAATATTACGCCAATATCCATCAACAAGCAGCAACGTAAATATGTTACAAAATATTGTCGTCATCTTTTTATTGTGTACTTTTTGTGAATATTAATTTGAAATCTTTCAAAAAAAAGCGGCTTAAAGTGTATCTATACATATTTATTAATTATAAATGTGAAATACGTGCATCACCACTGCAAACAAACTGAATGTTAACACACAATAAAAGGAAAAAGAAACAACCTTACGGATCCCTGTTCCTTCCTATGCAAAACACTAGAGCATTCCACTGAAGATTTCCATATAAACAAAGTAACCTCCCTTCATGTGTTCTTTAATCGTGGCATACATTGAAATCCTAATATTTTAGTTAGGGCAGGCACTCAAATATCCGTCTTCTTTAGTAACTGAAATCTCAGTCTTTCATCTTGACAGGCAATACATCGCAGTTTTGAATAAGGACAGGAATTGAAATCAAAGTCTTGAATTAAGACAAGCACTTAAGTTCCAGCTTTTGAATGGGACATGAATTTTGAAATCCCGGTCTTCATTTAAGACAGACACAATGGTCGTATTCTTTAATCAGGTCAGACACTGAAATCCAAGTCTTCAATTTGGACAAGTACTTAAAGCTAAGTCTACATTTAAGACAGACACTGAAACCAAGTCTTAAATTAGGACAGGCATTGGAATCTCACTCTTAAATTAGGATATGCACTAAGGTCCCGGTCTCAAATTAGGACAGACACTGAAAGCTCATAGTTGGAAAACAGGTCACAAATATGGCCTGATCGAGTAACTAAGCGTATAACGCACCATCCTTTAGGTAGAAAATCTCTAGCTAAGTATTTTGGTCAATCGAATATTCTGAGCCGAACGGTGTTGTTCACAAGGATAGATTGAGTTGTCCCCCTTCACATGTAAAAAGCACACTCTTCTTGATTGATTCTTTCACCAGGAATTGCGGCAAAGAGTAATTCTATACACAAAATATAGCTGATAAATTCATCATGAATACCATTGTGTTTTAAACATCAAACGTAATAAGCAAAAATATGCTACCATCATTTTTAAATGTTAATTAATTACTTAATACGTTATGTCATCAGTTTGAAATATTACCACGGAGATAAGACCGATAATACTAGAAAACACACGACAGTTATATATCCTCATTTATCACAGTCGTTAATTAAAGTGACACACTTTCAAAAACACTCATATTTTCTTTAAAGGAACACATTTAACGCCATTCAACAATTGACTTTAATAAATATATCTGATATCAATTTGATTTTGTATGTTATACCTCACGACGGGTGTACTTGGTGTATTCTTTTGTTCATTTTTTTTATCGTCGGTTCAATTGTTTTCTTGTGTTTGAACGTTATGATTTATTTCAAATTCTACTCTATACCGCCGTAAATCCATACTGAATATTACATCAATATTCGAAATGGTTGAAAGGAAACAAGTTTCTATGTTTCCCCGAGATGAATCATGGTTATCATGTTACATCTGGATCACAAAAATAAACAGAAACATTTTTTTTATACCGAAAAAAACCCACCAATAGCCCAACGGTTAATAGCGGCTTAATGAATACGGGTTCACTTTTCCTAGAGCATAGGTGTCATTCGAGAGTTAGTAGTTCAAAATGTTTCATGTTTTTTTTATTTTGTGAGGGAAGTGAAGAACATATCCATCTTAAATATAAAATATTAAAATATAAAAATGATTTATGTTTTTCAATAAGAAAAAATACGTTAATATATACTGTGGTATTCATTACCAAATACATAGTAAACCTATGTTCATTTGCCGTATATTATTTACTATTGCCCATGTCGCGTCACAATATAGACATTATTTAACGTCATATACTTCCTACCGTCTTATATCATCAATAGCTAAGCGATGAAGTAACCCGTATCGTATTTCCAACGAGAGATGAAGTAAGAACTAATGAAAATAAAATTTCACAAAATCAAAAGTCTATTAATAATACTGTTAAACATTTGAATTCAAAGTTGAAACCGAAGCACGAACTACAGTGTATACGCGGAAGCATTCAAACCTAGTTGTAGCAGAGCAGAGGAAATAGTGAATTGAGGACCGAGACGGGATACTTGTAAAGTACTAGTGAGAATGAAAAAATCGACTTAATGAGGTGCGAGAGAAAACAATCAAATAACTGAGATTCGGTTATCTTAGTCACGAACTAAGTTACTTTAGCACCCCATCATCGGCTTACGCCTCCCTATGGGATCATGCTACAGAATACTCATCCTCGACTAACATGACGTATCGCATTCAATTACAGGTTATATGTTTTATCAAAAAGGTAAAAGTCAACGCTCCGAATCCAGGCGGTTCCATTTCCTGCACCGCATGTGGTGCTCTTCATGACATCTTTCCAGGAGAGTGAATAGAACCTATAATTATGTGACGATCTGGAAGTCTGTTTAACACATCTTCGATCATAGTTGGACAATAAAATCACTGATCGGTTTTAAGGCCGGGTGCAGTTTAAAGCAATAAATGACAGAAATGAGAAGTAATCTAAGTGTAAAAACATTTTGTCTAAGATTACAAACTGAGACTAAATAAGAATATCAACGACGATGTATACTTGCATGAAGAATATTGGATGAGTGGCAGCCTGTTATCATTGGAAAACAACAAAGAGAACGTCACCAAGGGAGGGAACTCAATCATTCTCTCTCTCACAGTCTCTTTTTTGTGAGAAAATACAGGTAAGCTAATTCTAATAGTTGGAAACAAGCTCTGGAAAAATAAATGAATAAAATAACCTGTTATATGTAAATACAAGAAGAAGACAGGGGAGACTAGTATAATACTTTAAAAAAAGGGAAAGTTAATTGTCAAGAAATAAATATCTTAATATTTAAACAATAATGTGGAAGTGGTGTATCAATTGCAACCATAGTGTAGTCTCACATTTAATATGGCATCAACATTAAAGATAATAGACACACAGTTGTAGACTTTGTATTATTTACATTGTATGTAAACGGCAACATGATGTCACTCCGGCCTGTGTCTCTACCTTGCTTCTTTTTTAGTCTGAACAAACAGGAAGATAAAAAAAGCTTTTGGTTCCTTAAGACCATAGTCGCCATATTTATTTCCTTAATGATTAAAATAACAATATTTACTGAGTGCAACCGCATGCTATCGTTTTGGTAAAATTTGTTTGAGAATTAGTAAAAAGTGTTTTATTCAAAATCATATATGAATCATTTTACAACAATTGTGAAACAAGTATTTTTTTTCTCAAACTGATATTAATCACTTATGAAGGACTTGATAGAAGAGCATAACTGATCTTAATGTGGAGGGAACCGGGAACTCGGAAGAAAGCCGTGAATTATCTTGGTCGTGTGTTTGTGTAACAGTCTTTTAAGGATGAACGTCTGTTCCCATAGATGAATCCTATCGTTCCCCCCCACCCCAACCCACCCACACTTCATTTATTCTGCACTAATCCATATATATAGTACGATTCCATGTCAAATTAGGAAAAAATCTCTTAACACGTTCTTAACGAGCAGTTTAAAAAAACCAACCCACCCCTCCAACCCCTCTCCCACTTTTTGCAAAATTCTTTAACGCATAGCTTTGTGACAAGGGGAGCCATATCCAGGGGGGAGTCAATACGTATAATCCCCATATTTTATAGTATACTAATCATTTACAGAACACATAATGAGGCCCGCGAGTACATAATTCCGGCAATAAACGAAATCGAAAATTTGAAACCTGAACTTCTGTATTAACGAACAAACAAAATGTCAAAACTCTTTATAATGTGGGCTCGGTTTTTTAAATGTACGATCTGCTTCCCACGATACATACATAATATGTTTGATGAAATTTAATAGAATGGCGTCAACCTGCAAAATAATGTTCTTCATGACTAGAAACACATTTTATTATGATGAGTTTAGGACAATACAACTACACAATATGACATACACAAGGACAAGGATATAAGTCTGTCACGAACATAGGCTTAGACGCGTACGCCAGTATTGTGGGTATTACAAAGGTGCAATGCATAGCATTAAGGTGAGTGAATATCTGTACCGCTAACTAACACAAAGAAGTGGTAGGAATAGATCCACGTCATGAACATACGCTTAAGAATTTCCACTACACACTGGAAATACCCGTTTGAAATACACTTATGTATTGTATATATGAAATGAAAGCAGGAAATCCCAAATGGTTATATAAATATTACAGTTGCCAACATTGTAGGGGTATATAGCAACAACTGTACACAAACAGACCATAGTGGGTATTGCTGTGTTCCGACACACGACATGTTTTTCGTCTGTATATGTTACAGAATACAAAGGCTTAAGGCGGCAGATTTTAGTCTCTCATTTCGGTACAGCCAATTGAACCATAGATAAACTGGTATTTATACTAAACAATGTGTTCGAAATGTGAAACTTTAAGCAAATCATTACTTTTTCTGTGCTCTGTTAAACTCTAGTTGTGCAAACAAAGAACAATGTGATGGACTTATTCTTGAAATATTTCGGTGAATTCGTCACAACACAAAGAACAAATCTACAACGAAGGAAAAGACAGTAAACATCTTCACTACCCGGATTATCCTTGTTGCCTTACAAAATATCTTGACATTTCTCATCAAACCATGGATTGATCCTTAGTTGAGCTAATTCGGGTAAGTTTTCAGTCTTTTGTTAAAAAGTATTCCGACGAAAGAGTAAAGAGGCAGACTGATTATCGAGAGAATTAAATAGTCTGATTTATATATACAGTAGATTAAAGGTCTCAAGTCATCAATTGAAATTGCTTCACTGTTTGTTGATTTGAGATTATAAGGAAACATATAGAAACTAAAAATCAATCTCATATCAAAAGAAAAATGATAACTACATGTATTTCAATAAACTTATTTATTTAGGTGCTGCTAATTTTCGCTCGTTTTTCCTATCAGAAAGATAAAAGTGACCTTTCTTATGTTTTCAACATTGCAAAAGTAATCAATTTTTCGTAAATACAACATTCAGGGTGTAAAGTTTAGTACTGTTTAGTACGTACATGTAAATGACTGTATTTTCACACACTTGTCAATTAAAATTGTTTCAACAAATGTATTTATTAATGTAAGATAAATAGATTGCCATGTTAACCTGGCTAAAATATGGCAACATACATATATTAGAAAAGATATAAGTTAAAATATTTACAGGTTTTTCCGCTAATTTTTTTATATATTTATCAACCACGATACAACGCTACATATCATACAACTACATATTGTGATCACGCTATTAATTCGAGCCCAAGGTTCATAAACCGTGTGCACGCCTAAAATTGTGTAACGTTGTTGAATCTCACAACTGTAATAATTGTTCAAAATATCTCAAATCATACAAAATCCAATTTTATACTAAATGAGATATTTTAAATAACCAATCCATGTTTAAGACCCTGACTCTCGGTTTCCAAATGGAATCCAAACCCTTCATTTATTCGATTATTGACGTTGTTGAGGGATGTTCTATTTCAGATAACTACAAATTCGTATTTTGGTCTCTGCCAGATCGGGTATACGCCTTTCCGTACACAACTTTTTATTTTCTCATTGTTGTCCCGTGCCATATTGCTACAATAGAATTTCAACAAAATTTCGTTAGTCTGCACTTAAGAAGTCTTTTAAAGAATAACCGCTCCTTACCTTTTCGGGCCCGCCCCCATGCTCCCAAGAATAAAGTAAGCGATTTTTACTAATGATGCGAAAGTATGATATATTCAAAAAAATGTTTTTTATCCAAAGTCGGAAATGCGGCACCAAATCAAAACTAGATTTAAAAGATATTTGAAAAAACACTCAAACTTTGGCCCCGATAAAAACAAACATATTACTATAACAGGGTGGTCGGGGGACCCAAACTTAGTACGGGACTCACTTACTTCCCAAGATACATCGTACAGCATGTTTCGTGTGTGTAACTATCAATTGATAATCTGATATCATTCTTGACTAGACACTGACTTATCTTAAATAAATGTGCTTCTATTCAACAAAAGAACATAACATACCTTTAAATTGAATGTAGAACAATACAACTACCACTTACTAAGACTACCGAGACGGATATAGACCCATGCAATGAACAAAAGAATTACCCCAATATTTGATCTTATTACAAAGGTTCAACGCATAGCATTGTGGTGATTTAATACTACACTACTTGCTAATACAAAGTATCCCATGATAGAAATAGATCCATTTCATAAATGTACGCTTTAAAATTTCAATTGTACACTGGAAATGTCAGTTTGGAATACACAAATATAATGTATACGCAAAATGAATGTAGGGTATTCCAACTATTTATTTAAATATTGCAGTTGCCAGCACTATTGGGGTATAAAGCAACAACTGTCAACAGAAAGGCCGTAGGAGTGTTTTTGTGTGCACCCACGCATACATTTTTATAGGGATCTTGATATTTTTTACAAAACACCACTTTCAAGAGTTAGTGAATTGCATCTATCAAAACGATTTACCCGAAAGAGCGTATCTCGCTCGAAAACAAAAATCGTAACGACCTCGAATTTGGAAACTGTTATAAGCTCGTGATATTTATATATGCATGTGAAGTCGGTTCACAAAACACGCCAGTCTGTATTCCATGCGCTTCATAGATAAACTACTTGAAGACTTCTGGTCTCATGTCAGTGATTTGCCGTGAGTTAGTTTATGTCTTTGTATCGGATCTTTATTTCTAGAGTACGTGTGATTACACATTACCCAGATAAGTCTCGATTTCGGGTTTTAACATATCATCGTCACGCACGTGTTCTATTGTTTACCCGGTGTTTCTTTAATTTACACTACGGTATTAAAATGCCCGATACGCAATACGGAAATCACGACACAAAAAAAATACTACAAGAAAAACGTGTATTACAAAGGTTAGGAAGTCCTTAAACCTAGCATGGTAAAATATTTGAAACGACTTTTCTGTAGTAGAACAGAGGCTTAGACTAAAAATTAAAGATGTCAAATATATGTCAAGAGAAATGATAAAACAGTACACGGCAATAGGAAATTTTGAATCTGTTTTCGACACACGAAACTTTGACATGAGGTATATGCTGTTTCAGTAAGGTTTTTAAGTTTTTAAAACATTTAAGTTAAATCTAGAAGTCAGAGTTGAAGTAAATATATCTTCAGATAACAGCATTCCCATAATCTATTTTCAGGATCTGTGACATATTTCTGAGATGACTGATCAGGGCGAGCAATACGGATTGTCTTGGATTCTACATCATGTCCTTGACAGCTTTATAGGGAGCCGGGACATAGTGGCCATAAGGAGGAGGATGCATCTTGTGGGTGCGCAAATGCAACATAGAAGCAAAGGCGCAATTAAAGAAGTTGAAACAGGAAGTTTAGCAGAAGGAATGGATATGGACGGCTCTGACATAGATATGATGCTAGTTTTCAACATTGTGATAGTGATGTGTCCTGATCAGGACTTCAGTAATCCCCTGGGCAGTACAGTTAAAACTGTTTTTATGATGAGAGATGATGCTCACAGCAGACCTGGTTATGTAACCCTGGAACTAGTTGATCGGGGACTGACATACATACCACATTTGGATGGTTCTATTGTTCGAGTTGGGGATAGATTTTTCATATCAAGTGAAATGTATAAACAATCTGCTGTTGATTATTGTAATGCTTTTTCACACATGAACATGGCAACGCATGGACCTGCTGCTACTACCAGCTTGAAGGATGTCCGCACTAACACCACTATGGATGTTGATTTTGTGTGTTCTTTATCGTGTACTAGTTGGCCTCGAGAGGCCAACGAGTGGGTGAGTCGGCCTCGCCTACATGAATGGCCAGATAGAGCTTTGATAGATCAGATAATTCAAGGCGGTTGTCATCTTGTTCCGGTAGGGGATAAAACGTCTGTTAACACATTCCTACAATGGCGGATTTCATTTGCAACTGCAGAAAAGAAACTCATTCATTCTTTCACTCATACACAATTTCTAATATATGGACTTTTCAAGTACTTCCTCAAGCAGATATCAAAAAGATTAGAGCAGGAGGTGGGAGAGGCAGACATTATATCCTCCTACATTATCAAAACGGTTATATTATATGCAGTGGAAAGCACTCACGGTTCATTATGGCAAGAAAAAAACACTTTTCTCTGTTTCATGCTTTGTTTGAATATTTTGATTGCTTGGGTGAAAGCTGGCTACTGCCCAAATTACTTCATTAACAGTAACAATATGTTCCTTGGAAAAGTTCATGGTGAAAATCAGGAAAAACTCCTTCATATCCTCATTGAACTCCACGATATGAAATGGGGATGTCTTTCATTTGGAACCTTCATACGACCATCAATAGGAATGCGAGTCCAGAATGTGCGGAATGGGGATTGGAAATATATACTTCCTTCGTCAGCACAAATAGAAATGGAATGTGACATGGAGATATTCATAGATACATTTAGAAGGGTTTCAATTATTAGTTTTCATTTACATCCGGTGTTACTGGCATTCATATATGAATCAAAGTTAGACATAGATGAATCAATAGCTAACTTTTGTGCATCATCTGTACTGTCTTGTAGAGGGATGGATGCTTTCGAGAAACACGTTGCCGCAAAAGGAAACAAAGAAATGTACAAATACCTAAGGAAATGTAGAAACCTCTTGGTACCACTTTCATCATTGTGTACAAGCCCAGGTCTGCTAATGTTGGCAACGTATTACTACCAAACAGGAAATTATATGAAAACTCTGGAGTTGTGTGGACACATGCTATCATCATTCAAAATTTTTGTTTTAGGCGGTCCATCTAATAGTGACCAACACATGTATAAACATCTCTATTGTGGACGTGGATACACCCTGCTTCACAAATGTCAGGAGGTATTTGTATCATATATCATATTTCAACAACGTTTTGTAAATTTCTGCCCATTCAACTTACACCAAGAATTGAACAAACATCTTGGTGCTCGACTTCTCATCCCTCCGCTGCCCTATGCTGTGTTCCTGACATTCCTCTGTTATCATGAACTAGGGGACACCAGAAGACGTCACGAAGCATTGAGTAATCTTCAGTCAGTGAAGTATGACGATAACCAAGGAGGACACTATTACTGGATAGTCCACAATATCCTCGGGATCTGCCATGAAATGGTTGGAGACATAGACAGTGCTCTCATGGATTACAATGACTCTCTCAATAGTCCTAGTTATTTTCAACATGAAAACCCTGCCATGGAAAGGATAGACCGAATGCAATTTACCACATACAGATAAACGCAGGCGGATCATGTAAACCAGGGGTTCTGCACAAGAGCAGCGTTCGTATAAACATACAAGAAACAATGATAATGAGATGTGGGATCACACAACGTTACGCAATGTGTGGTGTGCTTACGACTGTGCACGATGTGCGAACGATAGCAAAATTGGACGATCATTACTTGCGCGCATTTGTGGACTCGTTGGGTGAACGTTGTGTGATAACAATCGTGGTTTGTGTAGATTAAGGAATATCTTTAGGCTTATTTTTCTGTCTATACTTAGTGTTTTTAAACGACCTTAATCGACAGATGTAAAATTATAACAGAGTCCCGTATCCAGGCTAACATAGGCACTTTATACCTGTANATACTTCACGTCCAGTTGTGTTTTTCATAACGGTAATAAGTTATCACATATCAGCTCTATGTGTCAGGCACAGGCCAGGTAAAACTCGTCATATTGTTATTTGCATATTCTGTTAACTTGCAGCAAAACCCATTCTTAACATTCTGTACATAATCTTAATTATTGTGATGAGAAATTACAGTTATATATACAGTGTACATTATTGCATAAATGCATTCCATATTTTTCATTCCGTTATATTACTCAACAAATTGTATCAAATTGCACAGTTTTGCGGAGAGAAGCGCACAATCGAAAAGTTGTTCGCACCATGTGAGGAAGATGTACGGACGGTGTGTGAACGATGTATACACGATGTTCGCACGTTATTTTTGTTGCTTTGTGCGGTCACACAACTATACCATATATTGATCAATGTTACTTTAGCCGGTTCTACTCTAAATAGCAATTTTCATGGTTGAAAACACTTGCATTTACTTAACTTGTATGCATTGTTATATATTCATATTTCGTCGAGTATGTTGTTTTTACAATTTTGGACTTTTGTTTGGTTTGTTTGTGATTAAGTCCTATTCACAGCTTTAGCCATTTAAGAAAGTGTTGATGTTGGAGAAAAAAATCACCGTCCTGCGGCCAGCATCTGGCGACCGGGATCTCAGAGAGGGCCTTTAAGCTGTAAAGTGCATTAAAATAATTTTTGAGGCAACCTTTCCATCAAAAACGATTACCAAGAAAATAAAATAAAATATTTGTTGGCCCCTAGCTCCGCGATAAGTCCTAGAAAAAAGAAACAGCTGTATGATGCATTGTAAATCTTTTTTTTTTTCATTTTATATCAATTACCAAATTTTAAATGTGCAATCACCTGTGTGTGTATTACGATCATTTTTCAAAATTAATTTTAATGATACTTACAATATATTGGTTAAAGCAAAAGTGATAATTTCTCTATGCATTCATTTCGTATTAAAAATATTGATTCTACACATGTTGTTTATTTGTTTTTAAAGGATTGTGAAGACTTGAATGTTAAATTAATAAGAACTATACAAGAAAATAAAGTTTCAGGGTGAAAGAACATAGACATTAAGCTGTGGGCTTAAGGGCAATCGGTCAGCATCATCAAAATACCGCGCAAATAACTATCAACGACCAGTTTAGTAAAACTAAGACAAATTATCGTTGTCATCTCTTTATTGTCTACCTTTTTTAATATTAATTTAAAATCTTGAAAAAAACGGTTGAATTTTTATCTATACACGTTTAGTTCGAACGACAGGCAATAACTTATAAATGTGAAATATCTGCATCACCACTTCAAACACAGAAGAAGAAACAACCTTAAGGATCCCTGTCCCTCCAATGCAAAACACTAGAGAATTCCACTGAAGTTTTTCATATCATAAAGTAGCCTCACTTTAATTTCATTTTAAATAGTAGTATTGTAATTGGCCATGGAAACACGCGTTGGTTATGCACCAGAATTGTTGAGAGCGACTACATTGCGATAAGAGCTCCTGGTTCTGTCACATTTTTACTATGATAAATGTTGTTGATTTAATTATTTATTTTGTCAATGGCGATGTCTGAATAGCCTGCTTACCACATTTGAACGACCTATGCAACTATTCGGCCTCCTTTTAGCCTCCAACGGCGTCCCGGCCTGTTTTATGGTCGCACGATGAAAGCCTTAGCTACAGTCATGACCTAGTTTTGTTCACAAGAACAGATTGAGTTGTCTCCCTTAGCATGTATTTTATTCACAAAATGTAGCTGATAAATTTATCAAGCATACCATTGTGCTATAAACATCAAAAGTACTTTACAAAAATGTGTTACCGTCATAACTAAGAGTTAATTAATCACTTGAAACTTTATGTCATCAGTTTGAAAAATAACCATGGAAATAACACCGATTTTACAGGGAAAAAAATGATAGTTTTTTCCTCATTTGTCACACTCGTTAATTAAAGTGACAAACATGCAAAAACACTTATTTAAAGGAACACATTCCATTTACTGTAATATATATCTCTGAGATCAACTTCATTTTCAATGTTTCGTGACGGGTGTCCCATTGAACAAGAAACACCAATGAACAAAATTATTACAAAAATTTGGCACAACAAAATAAGCTTTGGTGCCTCTGGTACAGCTTAACAGTGAGCCGTCCCTGTTGAATTTTTTTCATAAGTAAACATCGTGGTTTGTGACTGATGTAGAAGTGCCCGTAGTTTCAATGATTTCAGGTTGGATGCGATAGATATGATTGACGTTTCAATAAAGGACCTGTTACAAGAACAAAATAATTTTGCTCGCAAAGCAATTTAACCATAACTAATAATATATTTGTAAATGTAGCTCCCTAGGACACGACACAGGAGATGTTTTTTTTTTTATCTAAAAGGTCCCCAGGGCCTATGCTATGACCTATTCAGTGCCGCCCTCCAAAGGTGTACGACAGGGTTCACTTTTTTGTCCAAAAAACTATCAAAACAATGTTTTACGCTATTAAATAATATTATAATGTTTAAAGTAGGATCTGCTGCAAATTATGAACTCAAATATGTAACAAAACATTGCATAATATCAAAGTTCTGCAATACAAATGTTGATATTTTCATACACTTTTTTGCTATGTCAATTTTTTAACAGGTCCTTTCTTTATCACATAACTGACCAATTTTACTATGGCATACGGCTATGTCATAAATATGGTATAACACGTGTACATATGTGTAATGAAACCCTAATATGCTGCAATTGGTCAAAACCGTGAGAACATATTTCTACGCTACTACGGGTACTTCTTTTATTTACTATACCACACGATACATTTACTGTTATTCTAAACGAATTTAAAACGATTATTTTGTTATATTTGTTCATAGCATTTAAAACTATTTATCATTCTAAAAAATGGAACTAATTTGCACTGCACGGAACGACAATACCATGATCTGAATATCTTGGTTTTTACAGTCAGCTGACAACACATAATTATGTTTGAAGTTTTTTGTCAATTACATTGTATGAATGTTATGAGATAAATAAAATCTTACATTGGTGTTCATGGCATATTGAACCTATCAAACTCGTTTAATAAATTCAATATGACATGGACACTCATGTAAGATCCCCTACTTATAATATAATTAATGAAAAGTCTTCTTCAATATATGTGAAGGTGAAATTGAAGGACATGGTCCTGATAGGCTCTTCAATAAATTCAGCTTGAAATGAAAGAAAANGTATCATACTCCTGAACAGTTTATGCAATGCAAAAAAGAAATCATTCAAGCAGGTGTGTTTTTTTTTAAAAATACAATATGTTGCTCGTCAATTATTGGCCTCCTGACTTAATGGTATTGCTTTTCAATGTCTCCTTTTATCCGTTATATGTCTTTGTTCCGGCGAGGATAGTGACAACGCTTGTTCCGGCGAGGATAGTGACAACGCTTGTTCCGGCGAGGAGAGTGACAACGCTTGTTCCGGCGATGAGAGTTACAACGCTTGTTCCGGCGATGAGAGTGACAACGCTTGTTCCGGCGAGGAGAGTGACAACGCTTGTTCCGATTGGAATGACAGCGGTGTGCTGAACAATTTTGCAACAAACACTTATATTTTCAACCAGGTATCCCGTCATCCTTTCGAGAGGCCCCTTCCTTATAAAGCCGTGGCTAGTAGCGCCATTGGTAAATTCAACTCATCTATTAAGATTATTCTAATGATAGGAAACAGCATTTTGATAATTTAATTAACTTTGAGATGTAACATCAATAAGAACTAGCAGATTGGGAAGACTTGTATGTTGCTACTGAGGTTACTATTAAGAAAAGGAAAAACAAATAATGACCGCAAACTTGTCACATATGACAAACAATTTCGTAGTGATATAACCATTATTGCCATTTTATGGGCTTACATCTTCAAATGTAGTACTTTTGTGGTATCTTCATGTTAGATTATTTACACAAAAACGTATCATACTCCTGAACAGTTTATGCAATGCAAAAAAGAAATCATTCAAGCAGGTGTGTTTTTTTTTAAAAATACAATATGTTGCTCGTCAATTATTGGCCTCCTGACTTAATGGTATTGCTTTTCAATGTCTCCTTTTATCCGTTATATGTCTTTGTTCCGGCGAGGATAGTGACAACGCTTGTTCCGGCGAGGATAGTGACAACGCTTGTTCCGGCGAGGAGAGTGACAACGCTTGTTCCGGCGATGAGAGTTACAACGCTTGTTCCGGCGATGAGAGTGACAACGCTTGTTCCGGCGAGGAGAGTGACAACGCTTGTTCCGATTGGAATGACAGCGGTGTGCTGAACAATTTTGCAACAAACACTTATATTTTCAACCAGGTATCCCGTCATCCTTTCGAGAGGCCCCTTCCTTATAAAGCCGTGGCTAGTAGCGCCATTGGTAAATTCAACTCATCTATTAAGATTATTCTAATGATAGGAAACAGCATTTTGATAATTTAATTAACTTTGAGATGTAACATCAATAAGAACTAGCAGATTGGGAAGACTTGTATGTTGCTACTGAGGTTACTATTAAGAAAAGGAAAAACAAATAATGACCGCAAACTTGTCACATATGACAAACAATTTCGTAGTGATATAACCATTATTGCCATTTTATGGGCTTACATCTTCAAATGTAGTACTTTTGTGGTATCTTTATGTTAGATTATTTACACAAAAACGTATCATACTCCTGAACAGTTTATGCAATGCAAAAAAGAAATCATTCAAGCAGGTGTGTTTTTTTAAAAAATACAATATGTTGCTCGTCAATTATTGGCCTCCTGACTTAATGGTATTGCTTTTCAATGTCTCCTTTTATCCGTTATATGTCTTTGTCAAAGTATCGCAAAATCCCTTTATAATGCAAAAAACATTTTTTGACAACTGTGGCAGTGTACAAATTTATAACTATAATATATCCTTTTAAGTTACGTGTTTTCCTAGCCTATATGCACGTTCTAATAGGAAATATATTGTACTCTCACATGTCTGCATTTTCAATTATGAAATTTGCTCGAAGGTAAACAAAAGCTTAGATATCATCCATATATTGAATATATTATGTTTTAGGATTTATGACTTGCATATTTATGTCATTAGAACTGTCAAACTCTTCTTTGGCTAACACATGCTACCTTGCTTTGTAATTAATGTTTATGTTTACGCTTATAAAAAAAAAACTTTTTTCTGCATTTACACACAACAGACGTCGGCCAATACAAGCATCAACATGATTGTGATTTTGGTGTTCTTGATAGGTAAGTTTTTAATATGTTTTTTGTGTAAGTATTCACCTTTTCTATTCAATTCTAACAATGGGAACATGCTTAAGATTACTATAAGAGATGGTCTGCACATTGTAATCATTTCTCAATGTAGAACAAAACTCATTACAAGCTGAAGATTTTAATGAACTGTGTTAAGTCTTCACCTTGTAAGCACGTACACACTATATATGTATAGGCTTATATATATAGAAAAATGAGATATTATGACTGACTTTAAAACTAACAGCTTTTTTACATGGTTCTTCCGCTTTATTTCAAAAGGACGTCTGATGGCCCTTTTAAAATAAACCTAAAGAGCCCTGTGATAGGATATATATATATGTTATTATTAAAATGTCGTTTCGTTATTGGCATAAACCATATTAAATTTAAATTGAAATTGAAATTTTACTATGAAGGTATGATATAACTCATTTTGGGTGAGTAATATAAGTCGAAACTCTAAAAAAAGAAAATTGTCTTGCACTGAAAAACGTATACTTAATGTAAACGTTTATAACGTCATGTTGCGTATGTTTAGTTGCCTGTTCCTCGGCCGTTCCTACGTCAACGTCCCTCAAAGAAAGGTACTGTGATGCCCCTTCAAGCCTGGCCTTAGTATACAACCTGAACGAAAAATCTGTCGTTTACAGCACACCCGAGGCGACCAGATTTTTAAAGATCTGGTCGAACGACATTCTCAACAAAGATGATTTTCTTGTCTTACTGGGAGACATGTGTCGGTAGGTTGTAGTTTATCACTCTGACTGATAGATATGCTTGTAAGTTGTACGCTGTACTGTGTAAAGGTGTGGTAATAACGGGCGGTAACTGTGACAAATCAAAAAATCAAAAATATTCTTTAGAGGTTCCGCCGAATTACGGATTGTTAAACATAGAAGTATTTATTACATCTGTTCTCCCTCTTTATCTGTGTGTTGTTTCTGTCAATAACCTAGGGTTTCACAATTTGCAAGCGCTAAACCGGAAGTTTGTTTTATATTTTGTTTTCTTTGAGTTGATTTTATCCTTTTTTTCTTTTTGTTATCATAATCAATGTTGGTGCAAAATCACTTTGATCTGAATTTGATATTATTTCTATCTGTTGATTTTATTCAGGTTATTGTAATGATAATCAAAGGTTGTTGCGAAAACATTTTGACCTTAAAAGATTTTTAAAAAATGCCATAAGTATGCCGAATCAGTGTATTGATAAGATCAGATGATCAAATGAGAACTATATGTTAATGTATCTATATATAGGTCATGATCTACGTCTGTCTTAACTCCTGGTACAGTTCTTGTCACATGTCACACAAAGTGAACAAAGCACCACGCAGAGTGGTATCAAATTACTTTGTGACGTCACTCGTGTACTATGGCAGCAAATTTTAATCAAACGTTCCTCTGGTCAAATAATCTAAAGCATAAGTTTGCTAAAAGGACAATCTCAATACAAAAAAAAAATATTCTTCGTATGGGTAAAAATAATATCCAGCTCATGAAACTGATGAAAATTTATATCCGATTTAATTAATTGTTAGTTCATATATAAGCTACTTGCTCAAGCTTGTATATGATACTGTAAGTATAAGCTGACTTTATTTAATATAAATTATATTCTCTCATATAAGTTTTATGTCAGAGCTGCTTTCCTCATATAAGTAAAACATTCACATTTCTGTTACCCTGCATGAGAAAATCTTAGTGCGTATTAATACAACAATGAGTAAATTAAGCGGCCTATTGACATCTATAATGTAGTTTTATTTTGCAAGTTAATGGAAAAGATATCCAGCAGTAATACTTTTTTGACAAAAACTATTTCTACTTTGTATCACTTTCGGTTTGAAGTACATCTATCGAGGAACTATGTTTTCTTGCGAACTAAAACAACTTCAGTACTTATATGCCGTCTATAAATAGCCCTATGGTAAACAACAAGATACATTAACACCTAAACATTTTGCATTAAAAAAATGGGTCTTTTTCTGGTGCTAACAAAGTAACAGATTAAGGTTATGCAAAACAAAATTCGATATTTTCATTTCAAGATATTTGAAAGTTTAAACTTATTTGATGGCGACCGTCAATGAGATCAAAAAATGAGGCAAAACTTTTTCACAAAGAGTTGAGATTTATCCACTATGGAGGAATTATCTCTCTACCTTCATCACAAATGAATTATAATCAATCATTATTCGTTGTAAATTATATGAATAGGAGTTGTTTTCCGGGTCTGGAACAATTATGACGTCTTGCATCAATTAATTTGTCCCCAGGCAGCGACATACCAAAGTCCTTTAAAATGGTTAAAATGTCGCACGCACACATACACATCACACATAGAGGCGCCTCCTTAAATTACATTAGCTGTTGACGTTAAACCCTATACAATCAATCATTCAGTCAAATGACCTTTGTCCATCTGGCGCTTGAATTGTACGTGACATATAATGTGTCAAGCCTCTCGTTTGAGCTGACTGGCCTTTGACTGGGCCTCTGATATTTTGTTGTTATTGGTCTTAAGTTTGTTCTTTCACTTGTAGATCCCAATCTCTGACGTTTGCGTGGCTTTTACAACAGGCAGAGAACGTTTGTCCTCATCCTCATCAAATCAGAAGTCTTGTTGAGCCTAGCGGAGTCATATGTTACCAAAATGGCGACGTGACCGATCTCACTAAGAAAGGTAGGTCCTAAAATATCGAATTTTATATAGGTCCTACTCTTTATGAAGCAATAAAGAACGAATTCCTTTTTTATTAGATCAACCATGAATTTAACTACATTGCATGTAAAGGAAAATCTAAACTGCCACTTTGTGACGTGTGAGTTATGCTTGGTAAGCAATTTCAATGGCTATAAGAGAGCTCGTGACCAGACATTTAAACCTCATGACCTTAAGTTATGACGTTACAACATAATGTCAACACTAACTAGACGCCATATGTAAGTTATCGACGGCGAAAGATTGATTTGCCGAAAGGAAAGCTTCCGTATTGGTTTAGTAAAACGACGAAAACAAAACGGCGTTCAAATGGTTAAGACAGATGGAAATTCCACAACTTGCGACATTGTCATTTACACCACAGACTAGAGCTGAAAACAATAGAACGTTCCCCGTGACCTTACCTTCTGCTTCCCACATTCAGTCTAACGAAGAATGTGCAGTAGGTCCAAGGTAACGTCTATTCAGTTTATACTATACGTTTACCATGGTCCCTACAGTCATATTCTTTTAGACATATTTGTTACGTTTTTTATCATGCATTTTATCAATATCCACAGTCACCTCGACGCGTTATGTGATAAATCCTTGCCAATTTCAACAAACAATTTTTATCGTGTGACAGTGAAAATGAAAATCGTGCTCTAATTTATTAATCAATTATATTTATTTTGGATTTGTTTATTTCACCATTACTATTTTTCATGACAAGCGCCGCAAGGTATGGTCTCTTTTGAGAAAGGATTTATCAAATCTTTAGTCTGGCGTGAAAACTGTTTCAAATACAGTCGTTTGCGGTGGCTCGGGGATCCTTAATCAAGCTGTGTACTCCCATACACTGCCTAAGAAAACATACGAAACGAAACCAAACCAGTGAAACATTTTTGTTTTTTAAATTGACATGTTTATGTGTGCTTGTTTTCTTTACCCAGCCCTCAAGTCCTTTGTGAGAGTAAACAAGTCAGCCGAATGCGAGGCTTCCCTGACGAGGATACAGAGTAAATGCGAGCTGGACGCTTTGTTTAACGTGGTGGTCCCCTTGGTTCCCAAGGAAACGATGGCCACACGTATTGAAGCTCAGACAAGGTACGATACATACAAGTTCAAGTTAAAATTACATACTGTGACATCAGATATGTTCGTGAGGCCAAAATTTCGTGGTTTACCGTAAAAAATATTCGTGGGTACAACGAATTCGTTGATAACGAGTATCTACTCATATGGAGAACGGCTCTATGTCACTTCACGGACCATTGCATTCGTTGATGAAGATTACCCACGAAACCAACGAAATGAAAAATCCCACGAAATTAGTGAGTCCACATTAAAATGAATAAAAATCATGACGTCACAACTAAAGTACATTTTTGCGCTTAAGAATCAACTTTTCATTCATTGTGAATTTTATTAGTTGCCAGATACATTTCTAAAGTAATTTTCTCAAAATATCGTATTGCTATCTTAACACATTTTAGATTATAATTTGTATATTATATATAATGTATTTACTGTTTGGCCTTAAAGTTATTTTGATCGATTCAGAAATTGATTGATTATTCTAATCACATAACTCACCTATTTTGCTATATCATACGTCAATGTCATAAATATGGTATTGCACACGTGTAAAAAAAACTCAAGGTTCTGCGGTTGGTTAAAACCGTGGGAACATATTCCTACGCCACTACAGGTACTACTTTTATTAACTATACCTCAAAGTGTATTTACTGTTATTTAAATAAATTTCAAATGTTTCCGTCATTAATAGTTTCATTGCATTTAAAACGGTTCATTATTGAAAAAAAAAATTAACCTACCGTGCACTGCGTGGAACGACAATACTACAATCTTACTTTGACCTATATAGAGTCAGTCGATAACACATAATTGTGTTCGATTTCTTCCCTTCAAATTATGAATGTTATGATAAATAGAATCTTACATTCGTGACCATGTCATATTGAAATTTATAAACTCGTTTAATATGACATGGACACTCATGTAAAACTCTATTTATATCATGAACAATATTTGTGAGACACAAACAAATAATACACTCATGTTTAAATCTTACAGAAGAAACCTGGCCGCCATTCGGTGTACCCTATCCAAGTTGGGAAGTCTTGCACCGGCTTGTGGAAGTGTGAAAGACCTTCGGATATACCAGCTTGTGTCGGAGCTTATACAGAAACAGCCATTTAAGCTCCGAGGCGACGTGGATTTTGAAACATTTTCTGACGTCATGACTTAAACATATCTTTCAACTTAGACTTCAACATTGCTTTGTCTAATCTTTGAAACAGGATGAAATCTGCATTAAAAATTAGTTGACTAAATCTTTACTCCATAAACATATATTATCCATAAACAGATTGATCGCGTCATCCTTAAACACTCATTTTCCTCGCATGATAAGTTTTTTGTCGCGTGCAATGATATTGATGTTCCGCAATCTAGTAAAAGTTGTTAATAAATAAAAACATTGTATCATTAAAATTGTTGTGTTTTATGTTTTTGAAGTTAACACGATTATGTGTTTTGCTTCGGTTAATCATGTTTATATCGTGTTAACAAGTATATGTGTTTCCCTCATTTAAGGGCACTTCACCTGTACAATTTGAAATTCAAACTCTTTAACTTTAAACATGTTCTATTGTCCAAATAGGTACAGGGATTTGGCAATTTTGAAATTCAAATAAGATACTTTTTTATTTATTTTAATTGAAAATATGCAAAAACACACCTCATTATCCTGAAAAATAATTATAGAAGGTATTAATGCAGGAGAGTTTCTCACTTTGAATGTTCCACGTGTGTCGTCCAATACCTGACAATCTATTCGATTTGCGGACAGGGTTCAATCCCCGATGTCGTCGTACGCATGGAATCTTCAGATAAGGTTGTTTTTCTCCTACCTACACAACTTCTACAACCCAGGTGGAATATTAAGTGGTTTAGGATGAGTGTTGCGGTATCTTGGCTGTAGCATTCAAGTGAGGTGGCACTCTAAATGATGCCGTTGGAAGCACGGTCCCGCTACAAACATCATCATCATCATCATCACAACAGAAATGACAAAGTAACAACAGCATCGTTAAACTTTAGATCATCATCGTCAAGACCAAGGTGACAGGGAAATTTTACCCGAGGCTTTCAACTACAGGAATAAGCTCAGAAATCGTGAAAATGCGTTTGGACTGGCTACCATTTTAAATATCACCGTTTCACCCTGAGCTTTTTTAATGAAAACGAATATGTCAGCAAGACCTAGCGTACTCCATATTTGCAAACATTGTTTATGCAGAAAAGATAATCTTATCTTTCTAACTTGTACGGTCAATGTATTGTTAATTTATTATATTTTCATCACGTATCCTTCTCCTCATTGCGGCATCGGAATTTTCAAATTCGATGACGTCACGTAAATTTTGGGCAACTGTAACCGAAAAACACAAAATCCAACATGAATATCGACTAACCCCCGTTTGAACCTTAAACAATACTTGGTATATTTTTTTTTTTTACATAAACACCAAATGTACAGACTGGTCAATTAAAAATCACTTTGCCTTCAAAAGATAATCGCCTTTAGCACATAACCGACCCATTGTACTATGTCATATGACTATGCGATGAATATGGTATTACACATGTGTGATAAAACCGAAAGTTGTTGCGATTGGTCAAAACCATGGGAACGCCACCATAGGTACTACTTTCATTTACTATACCATATATGGTAAATGGTAACAACTGATTCACCCATTGTCAGCATGTTATTTCAGCGAGTAGCACTATTTGGTCAACATCAGACCCGCGCTTATACAAGGAGGCAAATACACCAATATATCCTGTCTCCGGCACACATACACACGCACACACACATACACAGCACACATAGAGGCGCCTCCTAAAATGACTTTAGCTGTTGACGTTAAACTCTAAGCAATCAATCATTCAGTCAAATGACCTTTGTCCATCTGGGGCTTGAATTGTACGTAACATATAATGTTATCAAGCCTCTCGTTTGAGATGACTTGCCTTTGACTAGGCCTCTGATATTTTGTTATGTGTCTTAAGTTTGCTTTTTCACTTGTAGATCCCAATCTCTGACGTTTGCGTGGCTTTTACGACAGGCAGAGAACGTTTGTCCTCTTCCTCATCAAATCAGAAGTCTTGTTGAGCCTAGCGGAGTCGTATGTTACCAAAATGGTGGCGTGACCGATCTCACTAAGAAAGGTAGGTGCTAAAATATTGAATTTTATATAGGTCCTACTCTTCATGAAGCAATAAAGAACGAATTCCTTTTTTATTAGATCAACCACGAATTCAACTTCATTGCATGTAAAGGAAAATCAAAACTGCCACTTTGTGACGTGTGAATTATGCGTGGTAAGCAATTTCAATGGCTATAAGAGAGCTCGTGACCAGACATTTTGACCTCATGACCTTAAGTTATGAAGTAACAACAGAGTGTCAACACTAAGTATACGCCATATGTAAGTAATCAACGGCGAAAGATTAATTTATCGAAAGGAAAGCTTCCGTATTGGTTTAGTAAAACGACGAAAACAAAACGGCGTTCAAATGGGTAAGACAGATAGAAATTCCACAACTTGCGACATTGTCATTTACTCCCCAGTCTAGAGCTGAAAACAATAGAACATTCCCCGTGTCCTTACTTTATGCTGGCCACATTCAGTCTAACGAAGCATGTGCAGTAGGTCCAATGTAACGGCTATTCAGATTATACTCGACGTCTGCTACGATCCCTACCGTCATATTCTTTTAGACATATTTGTTACGTTTTTTATGATGTATTTTATTAATATCCACGGTCACCTTGACGCGTTATGTGATAAATCCTTGCCGATTTCAACAAACAATTTTTATCGTGTGACAGTGAATATCAAAATCGTGCTCTACTTTATTAATTAATTATATTTTGGATTTGTTTATTTCACCATTACTATTGTTCATGACAAGTGCCGCAAGGTATGGTCTCTTTTGAGAAAGGATTTATCAAAGCTTAAGTCTGGCGGGAAACTGTTTCAAATACAGTCGTTTGCGTCGGCTCGAGGATCCTTAATCAAGCTGTGTACTCCCATACACTGCCTAAGAAAGCATAAACAAATTAACCAAACGATTGAAATAGTTTTTAATAGGTTGATATGTTGATGTGTGCTTGTTTTCTTTACCCAGCCCTCAAGTCCTTTGTGAGAGTAAACAAGTCAGCCGAATGCGAGGCTTCCCTGACGAGGATACAGAGTAAATGCGAGATAGACGCTTTGATTAACGTGGTGGTCCCCTTGGTTCCCAAGGAAACGATGGCCACACGTATTGAAACTCAGACAAGGTACGATACATACAAGTTCAAGTCCAAATTACATACTGTGACATCAGATATGTTCGTGAGGCCAAAATTTAGTGGTTTCCCGTTAAAAATATTCGTGGGCACAACGAATACGTTGATAACGAGTCCCTACTCATATTGAGAACGGCTCTTTGTCAAATGAAAAATCCCACGAAGTTAGTAAGTTCACAGTAAAGTTAATAAAAATCATGACGTCACAACTAAAGTACGTTTTTGCGCTTAAAGGGACATCACGTGAAAAGGCGGTTTTTTTTAACGAATGTATGTATTGTATGCACTTCCACTTATGTTACCTCGCTATCCCCATATTCATAGTCCGTTCCAAATGTCCAGTTTGACCACTTGAATTGTTCGGGAAAGCCCGGCTAAAAATAGCGCCGATAACGTCACCTGATTAGGCAGCAAACACAAGTGGTGCGAGCGAGATGAAACGGTTTACAAAGGGGCCCTCAGAGAGGGGCCGTCAGGCAACTGCAACTTCTTACCGCACTATGAAACCAAGTTATATGATTTCTAATTCCGTATTCAAACTTATTGAACAGTAATTATTCATCATCAGAAGTTAATTGCACACTTGCCAATATTAAGAATTTAAATTTATTTAGCTTTTAACATAAATTTGTTGCCAATAAAATTAAACAAAGGATGGGGCACAAGTTTTTACAATTTATCACAGCCTTCTCCCGTGACCGGTACAGGTGGTACGGGGCTAAACACTCCCTCAACAATGGGACAAACCTTTCTGTAAAAAGGAATATTCACGAGACGAATATCCCTTTTCAAATGTTTACATAAAGTGCATATATGCAATGACAAACTACACGCGAATATAAAAAGGAAACGTTTGTGAATTTATTTATTACATTAAACAACTCAATGTCTTTGGCCATTTTTTTTCTAGACCATGAATATAAATCTATGTATACTCTCTTTCCCACTTTCACTGTCTCCAAACGCTAACATTTAGGAAGTCATATTAACCATCACACACAATAAACTGTATGGCAAAACCACTACGTGTACATGTAGAATATGTGTCAATAAGGAACGTGTTGAGATACTTGATAATTATATTTTTTCAATACTTTACAGAGATTAAAGCATACTTTTAAATGGACCTTTTTATGCTGAGACAACTTTTCTTTAATCAGTTCCTTTGGTCCGAAACAGAAGCCGTAGTTATCGGCAGCACGCGCCATTTTTATAACGTAATCAAATATTTTTTCCCCTGTTTTCAATACGTATTCCGATTCTATCTGAAGTCGAAAATTTATTCTTTATAGAGAAAAGGTTGTTACATGATCATACATTCTAAGTCAACATCATATGAAAACATGAACTGTTGAAAAATTACGATTTAAAAAAAAAGTGTTATGCGATCCTATTTACTAGAAGTAGGTTCTCCTTCCTCAGTTATTCATCCTGGTCCGTCATTTTGACATTTTTAATCTAGCTGCGATAACGTAGCTTTCTGACGAAGAGCGATTTTTTTTTTATATATTGCGTCGTCGCGCCAGGGCAGGCCGGGTATTATATTAGTACTAATTTAAAACTTGCATGTCAAAACAAAAAACAATCGTTTAATTCAGCAATATAATTAAATCATACCATTTTACTGATCCCGGTAATATTATAAATTATGTAAATCTAATAGCGCACGTATCTCATTTGACCCCGAGCACCGACAGAGGATCAGAGAACAGAATACGCCGTGGCCATCACAGCAGTTATCCCTTGGGGGGCCTCATGGCAAAATCAAACTAACCAGTCACTTATCCCTTTCGTTTGCATAAACCACTGTATAATTATAAAAAACACAAAGTAAACTCTCTCCGATACATGCCCATTAACATATTAAACTAAGTTCATCTGTGTTCAAACTCACACAATGATACTAGCGAGGTTAATAGTTTTAGATATTTATTCATAACATAAACAGCGCTAGCATTTCTGTCGATTTTATTTCAGCTTAACCGGCCGCTATCCGGAAGAAAACATGCACCGTACTGACTGCTAGGGCAGTTATTTTCTGCTTTGAATACTTCCCACTGGCAATAATGATTCCGTAACGTACCCCTTGCGCTATCTTTTGACCATTTGGCAACTATTCGCTTCGTAGCTGACACGGTACAACACTTTTCTTTGGCTTACTTCACACGGCCAGTCATTTTGTTTACAAAGAAATGGTGTGCTATGCGCATGCGCTAGTAGAGGGAAATCCCTGAACAAAACGTTGGTCAGACAGGTGGAAATACCGATGATTATCTTAGATTTAATCATTTTTATGAATCTATTTCAGCCAAATCCGATCGGCATTTTCCATAAGGAGTCTCACTTGATATGTTTATGTAGTATTTGGAAAAAAGACAAAAAAAAAGTTACTTCAGCGTGATGCCCCTTTAAGGATCAACATTTCATTCATTATGAATTTTGTTAGTTGTCAGATACATTGCTAAAGTATTTTTCTCAAAATATCGTATTGCTATCTTAACACATTTTAGATTATAATTTGGATATCATATATAATATATTTACTGTTTGGCCTTAAAGTTATTTTGATCGATTCAGAAATTGATTGATTATTCTAATCACATAACTCACCTATTTTGCTATATCATACGGCAATGTCATAAATATGGTATTGCACACGTGTAAAAAAACTCAAGGTACTGCGATTGGTTAAAACCTTGGGAACATATTCCTACGCCACTACAGGTACTACTTTTATCAACTATACCTCAAAGTGTATTTACTGTTATTTAAATGAATTTTAAATGTTTCCGTCATTAATAGTTTCATTGCATTTAAAACGGTTCACGAAAAAATGAACCTAATTGTGTTCGATTTCTTCCCTTCAAATAATGAATGTTATGATAGATAGAATCTTACATTCGTGACCATTTCATATTGAAATTTATAAACTCGTTTAATATGACATGGATACTCATGTAAAACTCTATTTATATCATGAACAATATTTGTGAGACACACACAAGTAATACACTCTTGTTTAAATCTTACAGAAGAAACCTGGCCGCCATTCGGTGTACCCTATCCAAGTTGGGAAGTCTTGCACCGGCTTGTGGAAGTGTGAAAGACCTTCGGATATACCAGCTTGTGTCGGAGCTTATACAGAAACAGCCGTTTAAGCTCCGAGGCGACGTGGATTTTCGAAACTTTTTCTGACGTCATGACTTAAACATATCTTTCAACTTAGACTTCAACATTGCTTTGTCTAATCTTTGAAAACAGGATGAAATCTGCATTAAAAATTAGTTGACTAAATCTTTACTCCATAAACATATATTATCCATAAACAGATTGATCGCGTCATCCTTAAACACTTATTTTCCTCGCATGATAAGGTTTTTGTCGCGTGCAATGATATTGATGTTCCGCAATCTAGTAAAAGTTGTTAATAAATAAAAACATTGTATCATTAAAATTGTTGTGTTTTATGTTTTTGAAGTTAACACGATTATGTGTTTTGCTTCGGTTAATCATGTTTATATCGTGTTAACAAGTATATGTGTTTCCCTCATTTAAGGGCACTTCACCTGTACAATTTGAAATTCAAACTCTTTAACTTTAAACATGTTCTATTGTCCAAATAGGTACAGGGATTTGGCAATTTTGAAATTCAAATAAGATACTTTTTTATTTATTTTAATTGAAAATATGCAAAAACACACCTCATTATCCTGAAAAATAATTATAGAAGGTATTAATGCAGGAGAGTTTCTCACTTTGAATGTTCCACGTGTGTCGTCCAATACCTGACAATATATTCGATTTGCGGACAGGGTTCAATCCCCGATGTCGTCGTACGCATGGAATCTTCAGATAAGGTTGTTTTTCTCCTACCTACACAACTTCTACAACCCAGGTGGAATATTAAGTGGTTTAGGATGAGTGTTGCGGTATCTTGGCTGTAGCATTCAAGTGAGGTGGCACTCTAAATGATGCCGTTGGAAGCACGGTCCCGCTACAAACATCATCATCATCATCATCATCATCACAACAGAAATGACAAAGTAACAACAGCATCGTCAAACTTTAGATCGTCATCGTCAAGACCAAGGTGACAGGGAAATTTTACCCGAGGCTTTCAACTACAGGAATAAGCTCAGAAATCGTGAAAATGCGTTTGGACTGGCTACATATCACCGTTTCACCCTGAGCTTTTTTAATGAAAACGAATATGTCAGCAAGACCTAGCGTACTCCATATTTGCAAACATTGTTTATGCAGAAAAGATAATCTTATCTTTCTAACTTGTACGGTCAATGTATTGTTAATTTATTATATTTTCATCACGTATCCTTCTCCTCATTGCGGCATCGGAATTTTCAAATTCGATGACGTCACGTAAATTTTGGGCAAATGTAACCGAAAAACACAAAATCCAACATGAATATCGACTAACCCCCGTTTGAACCTTAAACAATACTTGGTATATTTTTTTTTTTTTACATAAACACCAAATGTAAAGACTGGGCAATTAAAAATCACTTTGCCTTCAAAAGATAATCGCCTTTAGCACATAACCGACCCATTGTACTATGTCATATGACTGCGATGAATATGGTATTACACATGTGTGATAAAACCAAAAGTTGTTGCGATTGGTCAAAACCATGGGAACGCCACCATAGGTACTACTTTCATTTACTATACCATATCACATGATGTATTTACTATACCATATCACGTGATACATTTACTATACCATATCACATAATACATTTACTATACCATATCAAATGATACATTTACTATGACATATCACATGAGTCATTTACTATACCATATCACATGATACATTAACTATACCATATTATACAATTATGGACTTTTGTGCTGGTGAATATGATGTGATATGAACCTGAAAGAGTGATATTGACTGAGGCGAAGCCTCAGTCAATATCACTCTTTCAGGTTCATATCACATCATATTTACCAGCACAAAAGCCCATAACTGTTTTATTATATGCTTCAACAATAAAATAAAATAAAACAAAACAAATCCAAAGGTTCTGATTTTTGTACGCGAACCTCCGTGTAAAATTTAGCCAGGTTTGAATACAACAGTTCAGCATTTCGAAGGCATCGTCTAGATTCTTTTTCTTAAGGTAAGCATGGAGAAAATGCACTGCGTGTTCAATGGCCTTTTTTTACGTTAACAGCATCTTTATCCTCGAATAGTTTTGGTAATTTTCCTAACGGAGGAGAAACGTTCGCCAGCAGCCATCTTCTAATGTCGTCTGACAGATCGCGTTCCAGTCTAACTGCGCATGCGCTACGACAGGTTCCGGGGAATTTCCATACAGGCTATATTTAGAAATCGATATTCACCGGATAACCAGTCTACATGAGTTTTTGAGGACTGGTCACGTGTATAGGATCCGACCAATGTGATTGCGAGAAATGCTCATGCATATCATAACACATGATACATTTACTATGACATATCACGTGATACATTTACTATACCATATCACATGATACATTTACTATACCATATTACATGGTACATTTATTATACCATATCACTTGGTACATCACTATACCGTATCACAGGGTATATTTATTTTACCATATCACATGATACATTTACAATACCATATCACATGATACGAATATACCATATCAAATGATACATTTACTATACTATATCACATGATACATTCACTATACCATATCACATGATACATTTACTATGACATATCACATGAATCATTTATTATACCATATCACATGATACATTTACTATACCATATCACAGGATACGTTTACTATACCATATTACATGATACATTTACTGTACCATAGCACAGGGTACATTTACTATATCATATCACATGATACATTTACTATACCATATCACCTGATACATTAACTATACCATATCACATGGTACATTTTCTATACCATATCACATCATACATTTACTATACCATATCACATCATACATTTACTATACCATATTACATGGTACATTTACTATACCATATTACATGGTACATTTACTATACCATATCTCATGATACATTTTCTATACCATATCACATGGTACATTTCCTTTACCATATCACATGATACATTTACTTTACCATATCACATGGTACATTTACTTTACCATATCACATGGTACATTTATTATACCATATCAAATGGTACATCTACTATACCATATCACATGGTACATTTATTACACCATATCAAATGGTACATTTACTTTACCATAGCACATGATACATTTACTATACCATATCACATGATACATTTACTATACCATATCACATGATACATTAATAACACCATATCAAATGATACATTTACTTTACCATATCAAATGATACATTTATTATACCATATCACATGATACATTTACTATACCATATCACATAAGACATTTACTTAACCATATCACATGATACATTTACTATACCATATAACATGATACATTTACTATACCATATCACATGGTACATTTACTATACCATATGATATGATACATTTACTATACCATATCACATGATACATTTACTATACCATATTACATGGTCATTTACTTTACCATATCACATCATACATTTTCTATACCATATCACATGAAACATTTACTATACCATATCACATGATACATTTACTTTACCATATCACATGATGCATTTACTTTACAACATCACATGATACATTTATTATACCATATCACATGGTACAGTTACTATACCATATCACAGGATACATTTACTATACCATATCACCTGATACATTTACTATACCATATCACATGATACGTTTACTATACCGTATCACATGATACATTTACTATACCATATGATATGATACATTTACTATACCATATCACATGATACATTTACTATACCATATCACATGATGCATTAACTATATCATATCACATGATACGTTTACTATACCGTATCACATGATACATTTACTATACCATATCACATGGTACATTCACTATACCATATCACATCATACATTAGCTATACCATATTACATCATTCATTTACTATACAATATCACATCATACATTCACTAAACCATATCACATGATACAATTTCTATTATTTTAAATAAAATTGTGAAATATCCATTTTGTCATTATAATTTGCATTGCATTCATTATTAACTGGAACTAATTTGCACTGCGCAAAACGACAATACTGTGATCGAAGTAATATGGTCTTAACTGTATCGAGTCAGCTGAGAACACGTAACCGTGTTTGAAGTCTTTTTTCCGAATTATAAATATTATGTGATAAATAGAATCTTATATTCGTGTCCACATCGTATTGGGTATATATTTAACTCGTTCAATTATTTAAAATGACACTCGTCTATAGACTCGAATTCGTTGGAGAACACAATACATCTCCAGCACACACACATGCATACACACATAGGGAAATATTAGCCAGGTGGCATATGACTAGTAGTAAGCGCCTGATAAGGCAGCTCCTGCGAATTCCTCAATATTGTATTGATTAATATATATGCTAATTGTATTGACTGTTTACAATTGTATATCTATGTGCTGTAAAGCGCTTTAGGGTGACTTATGTTAGCTAGATAGGGCGCTATATCAAATGTTGTATATCTATTTATCTTAATAAATTGAATAGTTCATGGGTACTCATTTAAGATCCTCTATTTCTGAGGTTGGAACCTCAAACTGTAATATTTCACACACAAAACTTATTTCAACTAATTGTAATATATTTCATTATACTAGCATTCACTAAATGACATATCTTTTTCTCTATTCCTCATTGTTTAGATCATAATCACGTGAAAGTCAGTGATTTGTGAAAATTGATTCGTTGTTACTATTTTTAGAAACAGCAGGTCAATATTATGTTTATGACGTCACTTCAATAATTGTTGTTACGTCGCAATACTCTGTCGAATGTAGTATCTTTCTCCTCAAACAATGCATACGCTCTATTTACTTTCATGATAAAAACAATTTTAGATCTTTTTTTCGGTGAATATGTCGGAAATCGAACTTGGAAGAGTCTCGGTCAATATTGAAATATGAAATTGAAATATGTGCAGGTTGAAGTCCCTGGGGTAAGCCTCCATCCATATTGTGTCTTTGCATAGGACGAGAAAAAAAAATTGACGGAATACTTATATATAATGATACACTTATTTCACGGGGATGGATGATATATATCGATGGAGAAAACATATGCAACGTACCGATGGTTAATTTTAAACGCAAATCTTACAACCTCAATTTTGTATCAATTATGGACTTATGTTGAGGGGAGTATGTCGATATATTAACCTGAAAAGATGATATTTACCGAAATAAAAGTCTTTGATTGCTCTATTAGATGCCAAACAATGTTCAATTATTAAAAGTTAGAACGTATGAAATGTGTAAGGAGGGAAGTACGGCATTCGGCTGAGAGAGTTGTGACGTCACAATTTAAATACGACGTTTCTAAAAATATTACGACCGAGTCAATATTGCAAATCACTGACCTTCACGTGATTATGATCCAACTAATAAGGAAGCAGGAAAAAATGTGTACCTTCTTCTTTTTAATGTGCGGGCTCCTACTGGGGCATTTTTGCATATTTAATATATACTGTATTATTTCTAAATTTATCCATGTTTAAATTCTGTAAAACATCATGTGTTTTCTAATAGTTTCCACAATCTGTTTGGGTTTTTTAATTTATCTTAATTTTTATTTTTTATCACGAAGGATTGTCAACTCGAATGAATAGCTGTTTCGATGAATAGAACTATAAATCGACTACCGTACAAAAAATAATTATAAACAGCAAAATGATGAACGGTTATGTTTGCATTTCTTCGCGTAATCTTCTAAAACAGTAAAATAGCTAACAATTAAAGTAATTGTCAAAGGATTCATGTAGCACAACCAGTAAGTGTTTTGTGGTCCGTTATACCCGCCAATATACATGTTCTTGATTTTTACATATCAACACTATTTTGTTGTGCTACATGAATTTTTCACAATTCATACTGACTAACCTGCAGAATAGTGGGCCGCGGTGGCCATGAGGTTTAGACGTCTGACATTCAGGTACTGGCCGTCGGTAGATGGGTTTTGTCTCTGGGAACTCCATCACCAAATTATGGCACGTCCTTAAATGAACACAGCTGTTAATAGAACGTAAAACACATACAAACCAATCACTATTTGCCTTTTTGAGAGAGTCAGTCAATATATACTAAGTAAAATACATTTAATTAATTGCTTCATTGATGATATTTTAGAAAAAGAATTAACTGAAAGGAAGAAATATAGGTAGACAAACAAATCAAGAAAATATTTAGATATAACTCAGGTAATATATTCATGTTAAATAATTGTGCAAGGATAAGAGTAAAAATCTTAATTATTTTTACCGTGATGCCCAGCACATGGGACAGAAGATAATTAATATGGAGGCTTTTGGTAGTTTCCAATCCTCTTTACATTAAACTTGCAAACGTCATTTATTATGTACATTTAACAAAAGAAATTACTTAAATTATACTAAACGACGATTGGTATATAGCATTTAATCATCTGTGGAGAGAAGATCGTACAGAAAGAAGCAACACTACAACATTCAGAAACACATTATTGCTCTACAATCAAAATCTAATTATGTCAATCATGTTCTAATTGAATCACTAATTGTATCAATCAAAAACGAATTATATCAATCATATGCTCATTATGTGAATCAAATGCTGAAATGATTGCTTGCCATGCAGACATTTTGCGACCACACATCTGTCATAAAACATGACGCTAGGCGTAGCTTCACCATATGCATGCAGCAGACGATACGACAGGGAACACGCAACAGACGACAACCAAACTATCAACATGATTCTGTTCGTGGCAGTTTTGATAGGTAGGTGTTTGTAAAATATTTTGTTGCTTTGTTTAGAAACACTTACTATTATTTATCTTATGTCATTCTGATTGTAACAGTATACATGATGATGTCTTTTAAAAAATTGCATGCACATTAAATTTCTCTTATAGAACAAAAACCTATTTGAAACTAAAGGCGGTTGTGTATGTACGCTGGTGTAAATGTGTTATCTTGTACAAGGAATGTTTTAAGAGCGGTATATGGCAAGCGTCATTCACTTTGGTCTTACCTTACTAATGGCCTCAAAGATATTGTTTATATGTGTCTAACTAAGTTTATTATGACCTAATCCTCAAATTTTTTGAATTAAATGTGTTCAATTCAAATATTAAACAGTGATTGGATATTCGTAAAAAACAATTTTCTGTTGTGAACATTTTTCAGGTGTAGCTGATCTTTCGCTAGCCTTCCCCGAGAGATACTGCAATAGCGCTTCAAGCCTCGCCTTGGTATACCAATTAAACAAAATAGATGTTCAACATAGTTCATTCAGCGACTGGATGAAACTTTGGGATATTGACTTGAACGATATCCTAGTCAAAGATGACTTACTTTTCTTGCTAGGAGACATGTGTGGGTAAGTTTTAATTTATATTGTCTAACTTACAGGCATATTAGCGTGTGTTCGTATATTGTGATCAACTTGTCTGGACGAAAGCAGTGTGTTGACAATTTTTTTTATTATCATTTTTTATTTAACACATGAGCAATTTGTGTTGTTCGGTTATATGGCGGAAAAACCCCATTTAGTAGGTTGAGTTTTACTAGTCTGACTGAAATTATAATTGACCCAATTTTTGAGTTGTAAACGGACGAATTTGCAATAAGTTCGGTAAGGATTTCCTTTGTAACGGCTTCCTGCATGTTTCGGATGTGATTTTCCCTACTTCGTTTTTGTGTGATTATTCGCCTGACAATGTGGCCAAGTGGTTAAGGCGTCTGACATTCTGCTAGGTTTAGCCCTCTACCACTGGGTGGTGGGTTCGATACCTACGCTGGGCAGTTGCCAGGTACTGGTCGTAGGTAGTGGTTTTACTGTGGGAACTCCGGCTTCCCTCCACCACCAAAACCTCGCACATCTTTAAATGACCATAGCTGTTAATAGGACGTAAAACACAAACAAACCAAACACTATTTGCAAAACTTTAAAGTTTCTTGGATGGTATTTTAGAAAATTAACAAAACTTAACCGATAGGTACAGAATATGTGCGAGTAGACTATGAATAGCCTTTTCGTCTGTCTCTGTCACATGTGCTGAACAGGTTTTGTCTATTTATCGGACATTCGGAAACTCTCGCCCAAATTACAGTACCTGTAGATGACCGAAGTGAATAGGCCGAAGAGTTTCGAATGCGTGTCTGACTGATAGACACAATTGAGCCAGGACACTTTCGCTGAACAGGTTGACTCAGTCGGATGTAGCAATAGTAAAACAATCTAAAAACCTGGGTTCGATTATCGGTCAGGCCCGCTGATTGTTGTTTTTTTTTTTACTTTGAACACTGTTGTTGATTGAAATAATGTATGTTATATTTATTTTATCATAAAAGTATCGTAAGGTTTTTACTTTTTCTCTTAAAACACTGTTGTTGATTGAAATAATGTATATTATAATTATTTTATCATAAAAGTATCGTAAGATACGGTTTTCTTTTCATAAAGGATTTATCAAATTTAGGTGAAGGCCGGAAAAAAACTTCCCAGCTCATAGTTACAGTTTTTGGCAGTGGTACGGGGATCTACAAGTTGTCAAGTAAATTTTATTGACGTGTGTCTGACTGGGACAGATGTGATGTCTTCGGGTTTTTTAAACCTGACCACCTTTCGAGTGCAATCTAAGAAACACCACTGTAAAATCCAAGTCGACATTTGACAATCCTTTTATACATTATTGTCTGTCAGAGGAATTAAAGAGAACGCCAGACATATTGTTTACGTGGAATACAATGATCAATCGAACGCTATTTATCGGAGTCACAAGTGTTTTGAAAGGTACAAAGTATTAAGGGATCGAAGGTCAATGCTTTACTGTGATTCGAAGAACATCCATTGTCTTGTGCCAGTAACATGTGTACGGAAACCAAATCCGAATCAGCAATGTTTTTTGGGAGGTAAATTTAAAGGCATACATTAAACTCATGAAAACTATATTTGGAATGACAACATGTTGCATAACATTCCCGCCTCACAAACACTAGAGTGGGAAAGCATTCATGTTCAAAAGAGAACAGAGAACCGGATACACATTTCAGATCACAAAAATCCCAACATCTTTAACAAATTATCGAACACTGCACAAACGTTTCAAAAACAAAACAAAATCAGCCATTCCCTTATCTAAAAACACATCCATGACGTCACAGAGTCGATCACATGGAGCAACTGAATCAGATTTAGTGGGCATATATTTACATAAGTGAAATCTATTTAAATTTCAAATACAACAGCATAACAGTTTATATTCAGATACACAACAGCCTACTCTTTTGACATGATGTTGCAGGCCCTGAGGTCGCTTCGTCAGTAGTCATTATGATGAATAACTCTTTGTAAACTTCAAGCTGTCAGCTGTGATCTGGCATCTGTAATTAATCCCGACATCGTCGTAGTATGACAACATGCAGTGAAAGTTAAGGATCCCTGTTACACTGCATTGGGTTTTTTTTAAGTATAGCGACACTCCTTTAACTTCCGTTTGGATATAACAATACGGCCAGGGTACATCCGTTGATCAAGTAGCTCAATTGATTAAGGCGACCGAATACCAATCTTAAGTCCAGTGTTCCAAACCCAGTAGCCTTGGTTGGGTTTTTTTCACTCAGATCACCTTTTTTTATTTTATTTTTTTTATTTTATCTTTCTTTTTTACTCATAAATGCACAGCAAAAATGGTATGGTTTCTTTACAGAAATAATTTATCAAAGATGTAGTTCTGCCGGTAAAACGTTTCCAACACTTAGTTACAGTTGTTGACAGTGGTACGGGGTTCCTTGAAAGTCTTCGCTGTGTGCACCGCTTTGGTTACACTGTATAACATGACCTTGATCTTCGGAACCCCTTTCGTATGTATACAGTAAACCTCTGATGAAATTGAATAGGCGCATTCTGTTGCACAAGGATTTTTTAAGGATCCCGGTCCAACTACACAGTGTTTGTTTAGATATATAAAGTAACCTCCCCTGAATTTCATTTTGAGTACAACTGTATCAGAGTTTGTCCATGATACAAACCTGCATTGACAGGGTGACTCAGTCCGTTAGAGCGACAGTATGGCAACTTGAGGTCTGGGGTTCAAATCATGTTTAAGCTAGGCTACATTTTCTACACTCAGAACAGGATATTTTCCAGTCTGTATTATTCCTTCGTGCAAATTGCCATCGCCATGGCAGCATGAAATATGTGACAAGTTTTGATGACTCCACCTAGATAACACCGAATAAAGTGATGACGTAGTGGTGACGTTTTCAGAAGAAATGCCCGTGCGAGCTGTTTTTCTCTGGATAGGTAAAGATATCATTTTCCTAGCAAAACCGGAAATACACACGTTAAATGTGGAAGAATTATTATCTGCTGTTTTTAGGAAAGGCATATGTCCTCGAGTTTTGAGATTTTTTTACTGAGAAACATTTGCAAGTATATTGACACTAGCATAAATAACTTGAGGCCATCATCCGGTTAAGGATTCTCGCCCCGCTGTCGAAAACTGTAACTAAGCTATTGAACTATTTAACCGGTATGACTATAAATTTGATGAATCATTTCTGAAAATAAAAAATATACCTTGCGGTGCTTTTATTTTGAATAAAAAAAATGAAATAAATCCAAAAAAAAAAAATGACGTAAAAAAAGTATCAGTGTTCTGAGTGTAATTTTGCAAAGGGACCTAACGAGGACTCGAACCCTACACTTCCAAATCATCATGCAGTCGTTCTAACCATCTGGGCTACTTAGTAAGCGATATTAGCCATATGCCGAGTCGCACTTAGTTATGCACAAAACCAAACCAAAGAGAGGTTACTGTATGCGTACTGAAAATTATTGTGAATCATTTAGCGTTTTGTCTGCAGTCAGATAGTGATCATTACCCCCGTAATTTTATCGCTTGACATTTAAATGCTGTTAGACACTTTTAAAACTAGTCAAGCTTAATATTATCCTATGTAATAAATACATTGCCTTATTTTTCGTCTAGTTATTACTTTTAAATCCTTGATTCGGATTTCACTTCAGCAATGAATGTTTTAGCAAATGTTTTGATAAAGTTGTTATGCTTTATTTGGTTATTTCGAACAGTTCTTTGAACAGCAAATTAAGTAAGTGTTGACATCAATGAAGTTGATGACGTCATAAAAGATATTGATCGATGTCACAATATCAAATGTTATAGTTTCACAACATTTGCCTTCGTAATGCCTTGCAATAGAAGGATGCAGAGCAAATGTAAATATATATTTTTCTGATGAATATGAATAGCGTGGCGAACCAGAGGGGTAATGTTGCCTTCAGAAAACCCTAACCCCACTCCGTTATTGTTTTTTATTTCATCCAATTCGTCTCCAGAAAACCCACCCACCCTAGGAAGTTAGAACCCCAATTCTTGAATTTTTCTGTTTACATCTTTATTTAGTAGATGCATATATATATATATGTTTCTCGTCCCTTCTTTCTGGTGCTTATCTCTCGTTGAATCACTTCATGTGATAGTGCATCTTGCGCAAGAATACGTCCTCTACATATATTTAGTAGTTAAAGAGTTTTCTAGAGGGATTCTTCTCCGATTTTATCATTTGACGGGTCGTCGTTGTGTTCCTTCGCTATAGAGCAGAGCCAGCGAGCGTTTTGATATTTAGACTATCAGCGTTCCTTGTCCTCGATGCTCTCAGCTTAATTGCTGCCTTCGGCTGTCTTTAGCCGAGGGGACTATTGGTTTTATATAATAGCTATATTTTCAATTGTAGTATATCAGTTCTATCTTCTTGTGATATGATGTATATGTACACGTAGCTGTTCTGTTTCACTGTGTCTTGATAAAGGAGCGGATCGCTCCGAAAATTTGACAACCTAAACTTGTCGACACTGTTGGAATTACTTCTTTACCCCATATACATATAAATATATATGTACATTTCTGTGTCGCAGTGGTTAAGGCGTCTGCCATTCTGCTATAACTAGCAAACCGCCACTGGATTGCGGGTTCAAGGCCCATGTGTGGCAGTCGCCAGGTGCTCGCCTCAGGTCGGTGTTTTTTTCCGGATACTCCGTCTTTCCTCCAAATCAAAACCTGGCACATCCTTAAATGACCATATCTTTTAATAGGACGTAAAAAACAAATAAACCAAATTATTCTTTGCTGATCTCATAACATAAACGTCATAACTGTTATATCTGATCACATGTCATACCATCAAACTTCGTTGTGACGTCACACGTGCAATAAGACATTTAATCTTCAATCCAATAATTTTCCAATAAGTTTAGTTTAAACATGCGTGTGATAAAAAGATAAAAAGAAAAGCTATATAAAAAATACCTGTTTTTCATCATTATTTGGGTAAAGGAATAAATCTATCCCAGAAGAGAAAGTCCCTCCAGGTTATCCGCATTTATCACATAACTGACCCATGTTACTATGTCATACGGCCATGTCATAGAAAAGGTATTAAAAAACGTGTAAAAACCTGAATGTGCTACGATTGGTCAAAACCGTGGGAACATATTCCTACATATTCCTTCGCCATGAAAGGGACGACTTTTATTTTCTTTACCACATGATACATTTACTGTTATTGTTAACGGATTTGAAATGTTTAATTTGTCATTATTATTTCCATTTCATTTAAAACTGTTCACTATTAAAAAAAATATGCTACACTTTGCACTGTGCGGAACGACAATACTATGATCGGTGTACTTTGGTTTTGACCTATATAGAGTCAGCTGATAACCAAAATCGTATTTAAATTTTTCAAATTATGAATGTTATTTGATAAATAGAATCTTACATTTACATTTTTAGGATATCCCCTTTATTCATGTCTATGTCATAGTCCAGACTAGATTCAACGCCAATATAGCTTCATTTTTCTGTTTGATGTTTGCACTTCTAATGACGAAGATGTTGGTTGTTTTTGCTTTGTTCTGTCGCTCGAAATGACCTTGAATATGCTTTGTCATATAAAGGAGCCGCAAACTGACGTTTGAGTGGCTGTTCCAACAAATAGAGAGATATTGTCCCCAGCCTAACGGGATAAGGAGTCTTCTTGAGCCTACCGGCGTCGTGTGTAACCAAGATGGCACCGTTAGTGATCTCACAAAGACAGGTAGGCCCCAATTCTCTCTCTCTCTCTCTCTCTCTCTCTCTCTCTCTCTCTCTCTCTCTCTCTCTCTCTCTCTCTCTCTCTCTCTCTCTCTCACGCTTTTTTTATATAATTAATTATAATTCGCTGTAATGGTAAAAAGACATATTGTCATGCATTCTAACTATTAACATTTAGGTCTTAGTTTTTTGTTAAAACGTTAATTAATTCTGTTGCACTGAAGAAGAAACTGTTATTATCATTGACTAACTAAAACAGTCATGTTTTTCTTTCTGAAAGAATATTGTAATTCACTTGGCACCAATGGGCTTCCGTAGAATTGATAACTACTGAATACGAGAAAATCTCGAGAGCGAAAATAAGCATGCAGCATAATATCAAACGTATCAACATTCTGAAAGCAAAATTAAGGCTGCCCCAACGTGGACTTTACAGGTGGAAAGCATATATTTGATTGGACGAAAATTTCACGGCATGCAGTATTTCTAGGTTTGCTTTAAAAGCAAAACCAGAATGTCGATTTGTTCATGAATAAAAATATGACAACTAAAGAGTATAACTTTTTTTAGGACGAATATGCCGATTTCTGATTTACAGTCCTTTAATTCATAATTTACCATTTTAAACCTTCATTCATATTAGTTTCAGTCATATTAACCTTTAACAAACATGATTCTGAAGAAGAAAATGTGCGTTTCCTCCCACACATCTTACATTTCTACCTAACCGTTTGCCCATCAATGTGTTTGAGTTAATCCAACAGAACTTTAACTAATCAGTGAATTGATTAAAACACATTTTTGCATATTTCTTTCAGCCCTCGGGACGTTTGGGAAAGTGAACAAGTCCATTGATTGTACTTTAAGATACACTAATTTACTGAGTAACTGTGAGACTGATGCCAGGTTCAGTTCAGACTTTCCTGTCTTCCCCGAGCAAACACTGGAAACGGACATCATCGAAAATACAATGTAAATTCACACTCTGAAATATATCAGAGCGATATAAATATATCGCAAGCAAGTCATAACGTTTTGATTTGTCAATCACCTATGACCTTAAATATTAGTGATTTTTTATGAACGATATTTTGTTTGTACTGTTTCACCTTTTTGATAACATTGAATATGACCTTACATTTAAATGTTTTTTGATAAACGATATTTTGTAATCATTGTTCTACCTTTTTGATAAATTGTGTAATTTTAGTTTTTTGTAGGTTTAATATTATTATTTAATGAATAGCAATATCAGACACGAACATTTGATGAACTTACTGTTATTTCAATCCAATACAGGATTAGCACTGCCGCTATTCGGTGCGCCTTAACCGGAGTGAGAAGGCTGGCTCCAGATTGTGGAAGTGTGCAAAACCTCCTGACGTACTCCCTCGTGTCCGAGCTAATAACGAGACAACCGTTCAAGCTTCGAGGCAACGTAAACTTTCAAACCTTTGCCGACGTCAAGGCTTAAATCTTTTGCAGAATGTAGTTTCTCAGACCAGAGGGAGAACAAAACAAATCTGTATCAAAAGTTGACTGTATAAATATTTCCGTCGGTCGGGCATCTTCCTGTATTACTATATGTATAATTCATTTATGTAATTACACGGCTCGTTTGATTGGATGAATTTTATGTCATCCTGAATTACACCTGTTTTCCTCACTTGAACATGTTTCCCTTGGCGTGATGTCTTGTTTCCCACACGAGGCCGATTTCAGCTAGCTTATTGAAATAAAAATAAAAAACTTTTGTCATATAATAAGTTGTTATGTTATTTAACACCGTTTTTTCGATCGTGCGACTGGTGGCACGACCAGCCGCAAGGTGGCAGGACCAGTAGTACGACCAATCATGTGACTACTTGACCCGCTATCATGCACGACTGGTGGTGCGTCTATGCGCGACTGGTCGTATGACCATGTTAGACCTGGCTGCGACCTCTTACGTTTTAGAATCGCAGGTAAGTAGTTTTGAACATGACCGTCGACCTTGCTGCGACTGATTTTGAACGTACGAATACCCACGATCTATGCGACTAGCCCGCGCGCAGCTAGGTCATATCCTGGTCGCAGGCCCGGTGTGACAGTGGCTTTACCTCAACATGAATATGTGTTTGTCATCGGTTGATGGTAAGCACAGGATTTTTTTATTTATTTTTTTATATTATTGCCGATAGTGATTGGCCAGGAGTGCATCACGTGTCCAACGATAAAAACCGATACTGACTTGGAGCGCGTGATTTTTGTTAAAGGACTTGCTGTTTCTAAAAATAGAATGATGACGTGTCTCCAATCGAACGCATCGTCCCGCTTCCGTAGATTTTTGCTGTGATTTTTTTTCAGATTGTTAACATTACTGTTTTGAAAATAATAAAACAACTGTAGCCTTTGACTTCGGTCGATACCTGGATTTATCGACACGAGAAAAGATGTATTAACCTCAGACTGCGTCCTCTGTCAATTTATCTTTCCTCGGGTTGATAAATCCAGGTATCGACCTCAGTCAAAGGCTATAATTGAATAATAAATCTTTTCTACAAGGTCAAAACTTGTGTATAATTTGATATTTAAATACTTTTAATTTAAAATATGCGTTCTTATTATTATTAAATAAAACAACACATCGGAATTCTGTATGGCTGATAATGGTTTTCATACTTTGAATTATTCATGTTATATTAAGATACAAGGCACCAACAAGTTATCATAAATATAAAATATTCGTTGGCGTTCTTTTTAAAGATTATTCCATGAAAATTGCATGCTCCCATGCATTATACAAAATTGTAGTAATTACGTGTTTGAAATTTGAATGTTTTAAATCAGAAATTTAAAAAATATGAAAGTGTAAGGGTCGATATCGGGACCTTTCCAGTTCACCAAAGATAAATGTAAAATATATTGGCCACCAAGTTTATGAAAAGAATTTAGCGTTAGAAAGAAAAAACTCCTTTTGATTGCTTCAGCTTACATGTAGAACGGAGAATACTAAAAGTCAAAAATATTTTACAGGAACTCTTCTCTGCGATTGCAAGGAATGCAGTGGTGCCCGTCATCTTAAGCCGATAGCAATTTAACATTAAGGTCGATAAAAGACAATTGTTCCATTGTAGAAACTGATATTTATTTCTTAAGAGATCAAGAGCAAGCTCGGACTTATAGCATCAGTGAAAATAGAGCGTCTATGACGAAACTGAATATAGCTTTACAACACTACATATGTAATTATGTCAATCAAAAATTCATTATAGCAAACACAATATAACGAAAACGAACAAGGGGTGATTATATCGTGTACTAACAGAACAAGGCGCTTGTTTGCCAGGCATTTAATGCAAAAAATGAGGAGGAGGAACAAAACGAAAGGTCACGAGTTCCGTGAACGGTTGTTTGTTTTTCATCATAATTAAAGTTAAACATGGTCTATTGCAAATAGATATATACTAAGTAAATGAACACAAGTTCCCACGACTGCTAACACATGTTTTCTTCAATTTGCATAAACAAGAACGAGGCGGGCATTGGACGCAATATATGGGAAATTACATTTGTAATTACTTACAAGCAAGTTTCTAAACATTTTCTTTATGTTAGTAAGTATGGATTGTGAAGTGAAGCGTGTGTACTCAAAGGTGTAAAGCATGTAAGAGTTGTCCAGAAATCGATATCAGTATTAAAACAAAGCGAGGCTGAATAGAGTCATTTCGGTACATATATAACAAGTAATTGTACATACGCGTACAGCGTAGCCGAATCGACATCGATTTGTGGACAACTCGTACATACTTAACACCTTTGTGTACATACGTTTCACTGGTCATTTGCATGATGAAGGTGACAGAGTACATACCGTGCTAGTCATCGAAACGTCGCATATAATACTTTTTGGTTGTGCTTTATGGATCTTGTCACATTACTAACAAGCAAAGGCTATTCTTACTGGTTTAGACTCATATATTTCGAACACGCCTTTATAAAATATCCTCAGATAGGTTATAAATCACAGAGTTTATTGCTTGCAATATTTCGCTCAAACATATAGCATGGAATTCAAAGTACCAGTCTTTTTTTCTGAATCAACGATTTTTCACGGGAAATACATCATTATCAATGTGTTTAGTCTGTATCCCGACAAACATCTACCAATCTTTGAGTGCATCTTGGCATTGCAAAAACACCACAACAATTGTGATGCGTAAATAAGGTAACAACATCACTTAAAAAAATGAAATTTCTTTTGTAGAAGGGTTTTGTATCACAACCAGTGCGTGTTCATGTGTGACACTTATATGTTTGGGTGACTAGTACGGTACCTTCTCTGTCACCTTCATCAGACAAATGACCAACAAAGAGTTAATTTACTATCGTATGACCATGACATTGCATTACCACTATATAACCCTACCTTATTCAGTTGGCATTCATATGGGTTATGAATGCCATCACCCGATTGTTGACGTCATAATTGTTACATAGGATACCACTGACCCTCCTTGGGCTATGGCTGTTCTATTCACTGAAAAAGCATACACAACACTACATACATTATTCGAACTAAATGCTGAATGATATATTATTCATGTATATACTTTTATATAGTAAGTGTAATTGAAATTTCTATGAGATGAACAGATTCCAAAAATGGTAAATATAAGTATTGACCTGCTTTCAGTTGTCATTCATAGGAAATATGAATACTAAGTTTAAAAAAAAGGGCAAATCCAACATGACGCTAGCGCGCTTCAGTGAATTTGCATTTGTCCAGTTGGCAATCATGTCTCTTATGAATGACAACTGAAAGCAGTTCAGTGCTTAAATGAGTTGGCAACCATTTTTGATTAAAAACAATGTTCTGAAAATGAAATATTCAGCGGCGCCAGACCTGGACTCGAACCCTAGACCTCAGAGTGTAATGTCGTCGGACGCTACTTTGTCACGTGTGCTACAGTTATATTCCGAAAGAAATCAAGGGAAGTGTACTGTTTGTTTGAATTTTCTTGTATTTGTCCTACAGTTCAAGTTAAAATTAATTTATTTACTTAAGCTTTACAGCTCATCAGTTGTGCATATATACAGTGCAACATAAAGAAAACAATTGAACAACAACATACATACACACCACTTCCGCACCTACTCCTTGAAGTGTAGAGAGATATCTTGCACTGCTAAATATAATGTAATTACTAATAAAATATTATTTGATGATAAGGACATCTCTTTATTTTCTGTGGATAACAACTTAATTATTTTTTACATACTTGTCTGATATAGAAAGGTTTTATAAATGAATTGCGTAAATCGGAACAAAATGGCCACAGCTAAAATAGATATGATATCAAAAATACCTTTGTGGACGGTTTTAACGATTAATGTTAGTTAACTCTATAGCGATTAGAATGGGATCTATCACGGAATATTTTGAGTCGTAACCACGAAAAAATCAGAGGTTATGGTAATGACTGATAATAATAAGCATCGATGTGACTGGCACCGCACTCAACAAGTTGCTATTAACAATTGAACAGCGACAATCCTGCAAACACGTATACCAAATATCCATGTATCCAGTCAGAATATAGAGAAATTCTGATCTTACACTATCTAGTATTTCCCCCCAAATAATTTAGAAGTTTCAAAATCCAGCAATTTCTAGTGACAACGACTTGCTAAGAATGACGTCGACAGGCTTATCACGGTTTCACTTTGCCGGAAATATTTTTTCTTGAAATGAAGATGGCTCGATTATCAAAGTTCCGCTTTAATGCAAACAGCTTGTTGGAAATGAAGGCGTCTGGCTTATCAAGGTTCCAATCTAGATCTACCAACCACAATTTGCTGGGACTGAAGGTGACCTCTCCTGTAAATATTTAAGTCTCAAAAAAGGCAAAGGTGCTACCTTCTCTCAAGCTATTATTATATTCAGGCCTTAGAATAGCATTATAATTAAGGTACACCACATGCTATCAGGTCATACAACACCGCTAACAATGAATCGAAATGTATGCACTGAAGTTAGATTACCGGACCAAGTTGCGTCCATTGATAAAATCTATCGAATATACTTTAGGCTAATTATTTGTTGAACTGTTGTTTATCACATCAATACTTAAGCCGTCATGACTGAACATTTCCGTTCAAAGTATTTGTATATCGATCACGTTTAATATATGTTTACCTGAATTACAATGACGATAATCACATTTGTTTGAATTCAGACCGGGCAAATTGTGGATGCTATATTTCATATTAAATTATTTCTAAGCAAACAAATCAACTTTAATTCGAAAACATAAATGACATGAACAATTTTAACTAAACATGGATCTGCAAGCGAGTTAGTGAACACCTTTTAAAAGAAATCCCAAGTCTAGTTTGTTCAACCAAATAGATTGAAACATCCCTTATTCATTTTTCATTTGGTGGTATATCTTGCCATCAATTAATTCAAGTCGAGATGATTATGACGCCAAAATATTTCTTGCTAAATCGACTGATCATGATAATTAAGTCGAATAGTTGTGTTAGTTATCAAAATACTTCTCTCGCTATCATGATAATTAAGTTAACATATCAGGAAAGCTTTAACGCTAAGATATTGCTGAACATTTTGGTTATGCATCAACCCTCGACTAATATCAGCCCTCGAGCCTTTGACCTTCGATGCAAGGAAGGACTTGGAAATTATCACAGCATTACATATAACTAGCAATAATTAAATTTGTAACCTTAATAAACTCGACCATGCATTGATCTGGATAAGTCCATTATTATGTACAGGGGTGAAAGGGTTAAGTGTAAAAGTTCAAAGACCAGGGTACAACTACTTTGGACTAATTTCCGACAATGAACGAACTATTGATGTGATCGAACAGGGACATACTTTTATAGTAACTGAGTACAAACCTTTATTTACTAAAACCTACGCGCTTGATTGGAAACTAGTCATGGGCAGGGCTTAAACAAAATAAAATACATCTGAATAGCCTTCATTAATACACTTCAGTGATTGTTACGGCTGTCAATCGTGTAAGCGACCACCATCAAATAACATGAATGTTCATACATTGATTTGCCTTCTGCTATGTAAGTATAATTTGAAAACTTACATTTTTACAAGAATAATTAGCCATTGTCAACTAAACGTAATTATTATAACATGAAATTGCAAGGTTTTGTTACCTAGTTATAAAATCTGGACCCCAGAAGCAACGATAAGTATCACCATCTTTTTACCTTGATCTCATATTTGAAAACTAATCTAACCTAAAATATCAAACAAATATATCATTGATTTTTTACCAGACAAAAAAATGCAAATCGCTTTATTTCTGGGTTTTTTATGGTTTAAAAGTCAACGGAGACTTGTAAAGATAACTGATTCGTAGTATGAATATTACGTATTAAAAAAACTAATTTAGTTATGTTTTCAGTTTTGGCAAATGGTCTCGGCCGCAGACTTCGGAAAAATGATATTAGACGCATATTGCGACAGCACAACTATCACAGACAACAGCTTGCTAATGGAATGTATAACATAGCGGCAGCAAATATGAAGAAAATGGTAAGTGTTGTGTTGAATTTTAAGAGTGATTGTGATATACAAACTGTACACTGTGTATATACTGTTACTGTATTCAAAAATATTGATATCTTGCTATGCCAACGAAACTTAATCACAAATAAATGGAACCAATGTAAAGCAAAAAATCTTCGCGTGAAGAAATATCGAAATTATCGTAAAAAATATAATGTTCAAGACCTGCATACACCAAACACCAGAAGGGAAACCTGTGATACTATAATCTTACATGTTATATGCTGCTATCTTAACCTAACGTATTTTATGTGTGCATGTGTGTTATGTATCTTTTTTCTTACTCGTGTTGTAAATATAATACAAATAAAGGAGAATATTTAACCAACCTTTTTTGACAAGTAAACTAGATACCTTTCAACTATTGTAAAAGTGAAAATATCTGCGTTATGATTCTTAAAACAAATCGTGGCTATAGTTTTACAAATTCTATAAATCTTATTTTTTTCTAATTTAACTTTTGCAGAAGCTAAATGCACGTCAAGAGCTCAGTTTGCTGGTAATCCTACTTATACCCCCTTCAAATTCTTTAAAAAGGATATGGACAAATCATATAAAGAAAATCATGTGGTGCATAGTATCAAATAGGAATTCGATTGTAGATGTTTTACCTTCCAAATGTTGCAACTCTCAATAATACTTCGATTACATACAAAGACCGGTTTATTTACAGGATCAATCCTCTCTCCATGCGCTTAACCAAAACATAAAACTTAACACCATCCTGGATACTTCAGGGGTTACGCTCACTTACGCTCTGTGCACCCTGGAATTTGTCATAGCAAAATTGATGGCATAAGACTAGCTATTTGATTGGTCTCAGGTAAAATAAAAACCCTTTTGCTAGGCTGATACCTGCTCTTTGAAGATTACAGATGAGCGACACCTGCCTTCAATACCTGTTAATTTTACTGTTACGTGACCGAGAGATTTGTTTGATGTGCATTAATGATCAAACTAGTCTTCTCGTCTCATGCACAATGTGTCGCACACTGAGTCTTCGATTTTCCCATGATATATTCCAGAAGTGAACAGAGCGAAAGTGAGCATAACCACTAGACTATCGAGGATGACTAAGACATATTGTGACACGAACTACATTGGAGCGACATTAGTCCAATAGACATTTTACAAAGGTCGCTTGTTGCCTAATTTTTTCATGTTGGAATTTCGTGAAATGAATATTTTACATACAAGATTGCGCCATTCATGTAGTGGTTTAAAGTATGATTTGTATAGAGTTAATATTATAACTGATCCACTGTATGTATGTGGAAATGAGTATGAAAACGCAATACATTTTTTTTATTATTATTATTATTGTATGCTGTATATAAGACTAACACACATCCTGATTGATGATATCTCACGTTATTGTAATATTTTCCCTCAATCTTATTCTTTAAAGTTCTACAAAACTGTCTGATGAAGACAATGAAAATATCTTCCAAGTAGTTCAAACCTACATTACAAATAGCAGCAGATCTTAAAATTCAGTATTATATTAAGAAATTGAAAGCTGTTGTTGTATAATCTCTCTTTCTTATTCTCCTAATCTTTTTTCTTTCTTCCTTTTCTTTCCTTTCCTATTTTTGATAGATATATTTGTTGTTGTTATCATGTAATTTATATAATAAAATGTATTGGAGAGGGCGTTTCAAAGTTGGATAACTTGTGCCTAATCATTTTTGTTGAATGACAAATAAAATGTGTTCAAATCAAAATCAACAAATTCTACGAAAACATTTGCTATATTTTTTACATCAAATACCATTATGCCTTACGCTGAATTGAAATAACATCTGAACCATTTCATAATTAGTCATTGATCCCTCAAACAGACTTATGCCTTTTCAAATATCATGTTGTCAGTATAAAGGTTTGGTGGTCGATAGAATGTAGGCACGTTTGATTAATAGTTGTGTTCACATATAAGCCAGGGTACACTTTTGATTGATTTTATGGTGTCAAACATACATAGTATGTTTCATGTTACGTTTTTGTAAGATATGCTTTGTTTTTGGTTGTTGTTTTTTACAGAAAATATACCATTTTGGAAATTTATAACTTTGTTAATGATATTTTGTGTAAACTGTTAAATAAAGGTAGTCTATCATTATTTTGCAGAAAGAAATTGGGTTTCCAATGGGGAATTGAAACAGCTAATATACTGTAAGAGTGGTAATATTTGCGTTGAAATGCCTGCGTTATTACTCTTTAAATTGAAATCAGTGTGGTGATCCGATGAAATCTTAATAACAATAAAACAATTGTATCTGCTAGAAAGTGACTTGGTATCTTAGGAATATATGTGACAGATAAAATAAGTCTGCGAAATGTCGGCTTCAGAATGAAGAAGACAGATAAAATGTCCACTTTAAGTTGTTCCGACGCCAGGAGTTCATGAAACGGTATTGTATTAGGCATTTTTATCTGACTCATTTATGACAAAAACAAAATAGTATTAAATTAGGTTTTTTTCAGACATGGAGTGCTTTACTTCAAAAAAAGACGAGCAGACTATTGAGTTGTGATATGTTGACAAAAAACCGGTACAGGAACATAGATATCAACCTTGGCCAAGTCTACGGCAGACGTTATGGAAACGTAATTAAAGGATGGTTTAAAGAAATTGTGTTTTTTCGGCCGGAATATCAGATGTGTGTAAGGTCATGGCAGTGTGCTCATTTACTGAAGGTGAGAGACCAGTAAAACAAGGTTCGAATCTGAATCCTTTCGATTGGATGAACCAAAGACATACTATACAAATAATATTTAGGGTTGCAACGATATATCGTATCGTATCGCGGTACTTTCTTATGTATCGTATCGAATTGTTTTGTTTGCCTGTATCGCGATACACTAATTATAATATAACAGTCCTAAATTATCAATCAATTTTTTATCAAACTCTCAAAAAGTGAACCTTTTTTTCGTTATCCTTCAGTTTAGATGTGGTCCACTGTGCAGTCATACCCAAAAGTACTTAAAATCATACAAAAGATATTTCGATAGAATGTATCATCATGTTAAATGTTATTGGAACATTTGCACACGTCATAATAATTGAGAGTTATCGCTCTTCTCACGTGCTACTCCTGCATTTGCATCGTTCATGTTCTTGCTATATCATTACAGTGAAACTAATTTTGTTATTCCTCAGATTCTGTATTTGAATATTTGAAGATGTGTGAAGATATTTGTGCATGAAGAGAATTTGGTGTTGTATACATATTTATGAATATAGTTTAATTATAAAGTCGGTGACTGATCCTCTATCCGAGCATTTGGGATCAGCAAAATATATCGTAAGCAAGGACGTTTCTATGCCTTCTTTTTATTTTCTATGGTTCTAAAGACGATTGGTAACCGATACTTTTTAAGAATCCTGTCCCACTGTAGGTAAGAGTTATATTTTTAAATAAATCATGCATGCAATTTTGTTTTCCAGATTATCAATGCAAATTATGATCGAGTTGGGTGCTCTCTAAAGCGGTGTTCTTCTAACAGAACACTATTCGGATGTCTATACAGAGAAAGGTATTACAATGTTGTTTTTTCTTAATTTTCATGTTTTACTTAATTAACATTCGCAATTAATGCCGACTTTATTGTTCAATGTGAATGGAATGAACGAAAAAGCATCTTTATATTTCATTTTTACATTTTAATCACAACACAGTTTAGTCCATCCCTAAATAAGCAAATCCATGCCCCATTCATTCTCATTGTCACGTGTTTATATTCCTTAACTCAAAAATCTCTCAGTCAAGAAATATCTATTTATTCCTGACTCACTTCTGTGTCCTGTTTTTACTCCACAATATTTTTTTTAACTAACTCTAAAATAATCTACCAACATGAATCTACGTTCTAAAACAGTATTGCTTTAACTACTAAGTTTGTCAATAAATTAGATATCACCTCTAAATTTCATATTCCTCAACTCAAAACTTACGTAACGACCCTTACTGCCCTTACAAATTTAATATCTCTTAACGAAATTTTGTTTTATTTAAAATGGTGATTAATTTAAACTGACAAAACATCAAAAATCTTGCCCGACGAGATCACTATCAGCTAGTAGCACAAACAACTGATGTCATTGACTAGACTTTCTACTATCTAATGAATTACAAAGAGCCGCTCCAATCTATCCAATCAAATTCCAGCTAGCTTCAGCTTCTTATATATTCAACCCAGTAAAGTTTCGACGTTGTCCTTTATTGGTTTTTGTTTTATATGGCAAAACGTCCTAATCACAGCTAAAGTCACATAAAGACGTGCTTCCATATGCGATCGTTTGCGTACATGTGTGTATGTATTCTGGATTAAGATATGTTGATGTTTGCCCCTGTCGTGATAACGCGGATATGGTGCCGACTTTATGGTGTTATCTCACAAAAATACCATGCCGAAGGCTTTATGCAGTGTTCCATTCGGGTCATATTATACTTACAACGGGTTAACCAATTGTTGCTATTACCTAAAACAGCCCAAGATTTAGTATTATAATCACCATTTTACGGGCTTTGGTATGTCCCGACATGGGGACAGAACTCACTGCATTCCTCACATAGGCGGATGTTCAAAACTGAACCAAAAGTGGAGGTTTTGCAAGGCAAGACGAAAGGAAAAAACAAAAGTAGGTAGGAAGTGGAGAGAAGAATAAATATTCCGAATGTGCAATGGGTGCAGCAAAGTTTGTTTATTTTCAGAAACAATTGGATTTCCGATTTTCTGAAGTTTAGAATGTCCTCCAAAGTAGTTTTGGAGTCGAGTTTTGGCAGTTCATATTTTGCCGCCGCCATATTGTTTACGCTGGATACCTGTTCCCAAGGAAAGATAACTCGTACTACGAACGATAACTCCGCAATATGCAAAGACGGAATAGCTACTTTGGTATTTTTTGTGTCCCAAAGTAGAATAAGGTTTGAGACAAATCGCTTAACTTCTCTCCAAGAACAATTGAATACTTAAAGAATATTGTCGGATTCCGTTTGTTCATTCTCTTTTTTAATTGTACCTGAACAGCAATGTCGTCTACCATATCCTTATTCCTCGGTACCGATATTGTCTTCGGCAGTTTAGACAATTTAAAGTTCCATCTTTTTTGTCCCTAGCATTATAGACGAGTCTTTGACGGACGAAATAGCTGTATGATGCAGTGTAATTCATATTTGGCATACTGTATCTACTAACAATTGTTAACGGCGCATGCGTGTGTTACGTCTATCTTTCTGGATACAAGGTGGTGGACTCTGCTGATTGGTGTTTTAGTCCCCGAGGTTTGCCATAACCTTGATGACCACAGTTATCTTTTGAGTAGTGATACGGTTCAAAATACACACTTTTCTAATGTGATTTACTTTTGAATTAACCAGTACTCGACTACATTTAAAAGTTTATAAATTAAAGGGGTTTTCGCACCTGGCCCTCTGTTTCTTCTGTAGTTTAGAAATGGAATTCCATCTTTTTGGCCCCATGCATCACCGATGAGTGCATTTTTTGATATGCTGTATTTATTAACGTTAATGGTGCATCACATGTGTGTTACGTTCATTTCTATATACTAGTCGTTTTAGTTGTTGATTTTTGTATATTTCAGTACAGAATCGTTTTCATCATATCCACTCTACAGACCTGGAAAAGCATGCACAAAGTGTGAGGGGGACTCGTCTTTTTGTGAAAATGGTTTATGTGGTAAGATGTTTTCACATTAGTTATTCGTGTATATTAAGATATTCAAATTAAAAATATATATATCATTACAAAAATAATGATGTTTTTGTTTCAATGAAATTAATTCCTTTTTCTCTTGTTTTGATAGTTCCTTGCGACTCATATCCAAGCGCATGTGGTACGTATGTTATACACTTTCCTAATAATACCATTTATACAGTGAAATATAGAAACAGAACAATATGATTATTTTTATCATCAGTTTATTAAAGATCCCTGCACCGCTGCCAAAACCTGTATTGGAATCTGTTTTTCTGGCATGATATAGCGTTGATTACTCATTTCCGAAAAGAAAAACCGTACCTTGGACCTTTATGAGAAATGATAAAGAGGATGAACAAAATAAAATCAACAAAAATGTTCTGCGTGCAAAAATATGGCGAGATTCGAACCCTGGACTTCAGATTGTTGACTATCGCTCTTACTAATCGAGCTACCTGGTCAACGGTATTATTCTGGTCCAGCTGTACTACTGTTACGTCCAAACGGAAGTTAAGGGGAGGTAACTGTATATAGGAAAAACCACAGTGCAGTGGGATAGGGATCCTTAACATAATTTATACAAATACTGTAAGAAAGATTTATATTTCTCATATTCGTATGTTCTTAAAAAGGTTGTGTGATATTGTAAATATGTTTTCGATTTTTGCAGACTGCCGAAAAACTTGCCATAAACCTTTCATAGGATCGGGTGAGCTGAATAACACTACATGCCAATGTAAGTGTCAATTCGGAATGGGGCCTAATTGTGACGGTGAGTACTCTCTGTAAGGTTTTGTTGTCCTTATTTACCGGCATATAAGGATTGAAAGGCATTGGTTTTCAATTTCAACAAACATCGGTTACAAACATATTCCATGTAGACCGCTACCGGCATATATGATAAAGGATACTGTTCAATCCTTATATTTACATTCAAAATTGTCAGTTATTTTTTTTACCTCAATACAGATATTTCCTTATATTTTCAATACTGAAATGTCTGTGTTGTCAGTACAAACGAGATTCTTGGAACAGCCTTACGTCCCCAAAATGTTTGCTTCTTACGGTTGTCTCATGTTATTCGAGGCGGGAGGAGAAGCTTCAAAATGACGCTGATAAAATTGCGTTCATAGCTTTATGAACGCAATGTATTCTGGTAATGCTTATAGAGGAACTAACAGTGGCAATGTAAATATAACATAGTGTTTCTTTCATTCCATCTCGGTAATCAGTTGTTCCTCAATATCTTAAGTTCCTTTCTCCCTTGCGTCTCTACTTCTGCATACTCTGGTATATATTCTAGTTCCTCATCAAAATATTGCTTTTAAAGGTGTTGGTGTTTCATCCTGGTATATTAATCACAATCAACGACACAATAAAGCAACAAAATGTTTGCAGACAGAGATACAAATCATACATAACTCCGGGTGAAGGAATCATATACATAAAGACAGTATTTCCAGTAGAAATAAGTTAATTCTAACCGGGAGATGTCGTTGATTTCTTAAAAAAGGTTCTAGGCCCGTATTCGTTAACCTGTTCTCATGCTCAAGCATGGGTTATTTGCTCAAATCATTTTTTTTTTAAAACTCATGTTAAATAATGTCAAACGATCAAAAAGTCCAATGGAAACAATGAAAACAATATCCAGCTTTAAATCTTTTCTAATTTTCTCCAAATCATTGAAAAACAATTTTGATTTTTATTAATTTATAACCTCAAGACAAATTGCTTGAGCATAATAATGGGTGGTCAGATGATGCAATGGATAGCGCACTCGCCTTTCACCAAGTTTGCCGGGGTTCGCGTTCCCTATTGGATTCGAAAAGGTATGGGGTCACCTGCTTGACCACATGGGTTTTCTCCGGTAACTCCGGTTACTCCGGATTCTCCCACATTAAGACCCCCGCGTGCCAGCATCCGGCCCAACAAGAGTGATTTAATAAGTTTAAAGATTTGTTTCCTAATTGTTGTAAAATAACATTTATGTTAATAAATATATTTAAAAATAGTTTCATGAATATGGATCCTTGTTTCGATTAACGAGTGATCAATGCGTTAAAACCAGTTGTTTAATACAATACTACGGTGTAGCACGAAGTAACAAACCACCATAACACAAAACCAGGAACTCAAGTCGGCAAAATAGAAATCGCAGAGGCATTTAAGCAAAAGAGGAAAAGTAATAAACATGGCATAAGCCAGAGGCGAATAGAAGCGCTCTAGAAGGGCATTGTTTCTCGCATTAAGCGCCCGTCAAATGTTTCTTGTGAATTTGAGGAAAAGATGTAGGTTAGCAACTTTCACAGAAAAATCGAACTCTTGATTTGTCGAAGCAGACACTAAAATTGAATTGCAAACAATGTGTTGACCGTTAAATGTCCTCCGTGTAGATAGCAAGCTCATATTCTGAAAACAATGTAGGTCAACTTCACCCATTTTGTGGAATTCAATTTGTATGATGCTAAAGGATTTGTGCAGTAAGAAATCCTAATGGAATTGTTTTTAAGCATAGTTGGTTATGTCTGCAAACAACAATATTCTATATTTAGCATCTTCGTCTGCTCCAGTGTCCCCCATCTCTCAGTTTTCGAAAAAAAAAATTGACGATTTCATTAGCTGAAATTATAGAACGTCACAGATTTTTCTTTCCTGCAATGAAAAGAAGTACGAGTTTTGATTATGAGAATGTATCTAGACAAAATACGAAAGAATCGTGTAATGTATTAATTGGATCATTTGTGATGAATTGTAAGTTGATAATTTGATCGCCGATAGGTTTAGGTTTAATATTGTTTAACGTCCTTTTAACAGCTTAGATCATTTAAGGACGCGCCTCCATGTGTGTTGTGTAAGGGTGTATGCATGTATGGTTGCCGGACACAGAGTATGTTGTTGTATTTGCCTCCTTGTGATAACGCGTATCTGATGCCGACTTTATAGTGCTATCTCACTGAAATACCACGCCTAAAAATGATCAAATAGTATTTGTCGATATCTATTTTATTGTCTGCAGAAGAGTGTCACAATCCTGAACAGTATCAGGACTGGGATATATGTTCTCTAATCACACAAGAAGAGTGCGCCTCTCCCGACTCTGACGAGCGAAAATTGTTAGAGGAATTCTGCCCGGAACAATGTTCTTGTCGTAAGTTTTTCGCATACTCACACAAATATTTGTATTTCAAAATGTTTGAGAAAATATAATAATGCCTTATGGTAATGCAATACGTGTTTTGAAATTGCCTTTCATTGCAAGATTCGTAGTTTCTGGCATTAAATAGACAAGAGGTAATGTATGCATATTTACAAAAACACGAAATAATAACAACCAACGATGAAATACATTTACTTGTAATAAGAAATTAATAGATATAGGATGTGAATATCATCACCGTTCGCTGTAATGTCAATATATCTTGAGGTACTCGGATGAGTAAGTTAGCCCACTAAACGTTTACCAAGACGACCGCAGTTTATTTCTCGGATCGGTCTTGTAAAGGTATTTCGTTACCTGTCCGACTATGCGGGTTTTCTCTGGGTACTCCGGTTTCCTTGGCATCGCTCCCGATTACTGATATGTTGGAACGGGAGCGATGTTAAGACATATTACTTAACGGGAGCGATGTGAAGAAATATCAGTTAACGGAAGCGAGGTGAAGATATAATTTTATTAGATTAGTTTCTGGAGTGATTAATATAAGAAGTTGGTTTCGTACTTGTTATGTAATAAATAACTTTTTTATATAATACAACTTCTTTTTAAGGTGCATAATGTTTCCCTTGCATACACACGCTCAATCAAGTTAATAAGACGCTAAACAAAATTAAACCAAACCTAACCAAAAGTATACGGTTTAGCAGTTGAGTTTTGTTCTTTGTTCCCATGCTATGTTATTTGTGTTTGTGTATTTCAGGAAGATATCCGACAGTTCAAGATATGGCCCTTACTACGTTGAACTTATAATTAAGAAGAATCTACGAAATTTGATAAAAGAAGCAGTTTTGAAATAGTGTACCATCAACGAAACCATTCATCACATTAAGGTCACCCTGTATACAACGATTGACCATGCACAAAAATAATGCGTAAATGGGTCCCAAATAAATCTCTAAACTAGTCCTTCACTAAACATCTTTGAACTCTTAAGGTACCGCTTCCGGTAAAGAAAACAACAAAAGAGTACCGAAATGTGGACAGAACCATAATTCGATCTCAAAATTGATAAAACAATAGCAAATATGAACAAAGGAACGTCTTACAAGAAAATCATACAAGTAAAATAAGACCAGGTATTCCGGAAGGGTAAGCGTCCTCTGCATCATCGATGACTACCGCCATGTAAATCTAGGTCAAATCGAAGTTAATGTCATGTCCTCAAATCGAGAACTCGGGGAGTGACAACAAAACTACAAGGCACTCTGATGAACGTAATAATAAAATCGATCTTCATATCGCACAAAAAAGGCATATTTCCCTACAAGATATTAATGGCGACCATAAAACTTATCGATAGTCTTCATCTTTGGAAAACATGTGTTGTAAGTTTGTCCGTCAGTAGTCGATATCTATATCTTATTTGCACTCTTGGTATGTCATGACATAATCGAAGGCTCATTGTTTCTCCTGTAATTTCTTTTAGACATGACAAACTGACCGATATCTGTCCTGTGAAATTTAAATTATCCTGCCGCGCGATTTATTTTGATTTCTCCTTTATTTCATTTTCATCAAAAGGTATTAAAGGATGCGGAATTTTGTGATCATCTGCAAAGTGACGCGTACAGAGACTTCGATTTTGTCTTGTCATACTCTAAGGAAGTAGATAAATGTATCACACCTTCACGAAACAATATTAAACACACATATATGGTATCCCTTTGGAATATATTTTGTGTAGAGGGAATGTCGGTTGACAAATCAAAGTACGCCATTGGGTATGTTTAATAATGTCGATTTTTACCTTTGACGATAGCTTGCATTTCTTGTGAGCTGAAAATTAATTTACTTAACAAACAATGGTTGAGCATCCAGCTTAACTAAATAAAATATGTATTTTAACTTATATTTTTTTGGTATATCAAACTTAAATATTCTTATCTATGATTCGCTTTTTTTCTGTTAGCTGAATCTGATAAATTTAACAAGTAATAGATGATTATCCTGCTAAATTTTATATAAATAATTTTATGATGTATCTAACTTTCAAATGCTTAACGATGATTCACTTTCCGCGGGCCTAACCTGATTTTTTAAATATATACAATCTGCTCGTAATGATTCATCAGTTATATTAATAATTGCATGAAATTAAATGAAAAAAAATCGTAGTATGACTTTTTATTTTCTGCGATTTTTTCTTGCTGCCATATTAGATCATACAATTGGCCAATGAAGCGACAGAGCTTTCAAATAGAAATCTCTCAATGAAGATTAGGGTTTGCGATATCAATATAGGAATATTTTAAATAACAACGAAATACTTTTAAAACACTCATTGAGTTAATATGAGTTATTTCCCTTTAATAAAACATCTTTCGGTACCTGTGTGTGTAAGTTATAAAGTTATCTTATTGATAAAGAAACAAAAACAAAATATAAAAGAAACCTTTTTTCTTGAAGTCATAAATAAAAATATCAAAATACTAGAAATTGAAGAATATATATGTGAAAGCTAAGCATTTAAATAAAATACATTTCGACCGTTTTCTTGTATTCATCAAATGAAAATTTGTTATCAGTAAATTTGAGTTATCTCTCTTTACTTATGTATGTCAGTTCAAAGACGGTTGAAATAACAATGATTAACATATACCCTGATCAAAGTTTTGATAATGCTAAAATATCTTGAAAAAAAAAAAAAAATGATAATATGGAGAAAGTTTCATCATTGATCAGGACTCATTGTACTTCATTGTTAAAAGGCATGGGGTCACCTGTCCGAACACCTGAGTTTTCTCCTGGTACTCCGGTTACCTCTCACATTAAGACTTCTCCCGCGCTAACATCCGGGTCAACATGAGTGATTAATATAACTTGTATTTAGTTGTTTCATATTTTTAGTAATAGAAGAAAAGTTTATTTCATATTGTACTTCATTTCTTAAATCTCAAATTTTGCATAAACCTGATACAAGACTGTCTTGAATACAAACAAGGGGTTTATTGCGGTCGATTTTTTTAAATGAATTTAAGAAATGAAGTTGCTTTGATTTTTGTAATATTCAACTGAATAAAAAAATGTCTGACCAGAAATATGTTTCTTTTTGTTGCAAACGTTTATTTTACATTTGTGCAGAAAATGAAACTTGTGTTTCAGATATCCCCGGTCTATAGATCTAGAGAACACCTTTAATTTGTATTAAGACCACATGTATATGGAGAACATCTGTTTAATCTTCGTATATTTACCACCTACAAATGTATATGTATGTAACATTTTCATGTATCTTTCATTTTACTTAATAAGGGATGTTCCATATGATTCTTTCACTTTTATTAAAAAACGGTCTATAAAACAATAACTGTCCATAAAAACATATTTCACTTTCTTTCATGTGTGGTCTTACAGACACCTATCCTTTTTTGTTTAAAGACCTTAAAATGGTATTTGTTACGGCCTCTTTGTTATTCCCTGTTTAACGTTCAGCATTAAGGGGAATGGCAACAACTGGTTCACCCGTTGTCAGTATAATATTACCAGGTGAAATGCTGTGCTGGGGGTCTTTGGAATGGGTTTTCAGTGAGATAGCACTATAAAGTCGGCATCAGATCCGCGCTATAACATGGAGGATATCACACCAACATACCCTGTCTCCAGCACACATACACACATGCACACAACCATAACACACATGGAGGCGCGTCCTTAAATGACCTTAGCTGTTATAGGACGTTAAACAAAATAAAACCAAACGAAGCAGCATCATAATTAAGAGCCTTTATTGGCAAATAAATCTGAAAAATTGAATAAATCGTGAAACATTTCTACGATTTAACGATATTGTTGTATTTTTCATTTAATATATTCCAGTTTTTGCACTAATGTTAATTTTACATTGCACTTACCAATCAGAGGGTAGTATTTCTTTGACATCATATTCAGAAATACCAATGCAAATTCGCTTGACGTGCCAAGGATCATTAGTTTTGTCAATTCAGCAACATGTCCGTTATTCGAAATTGTATTCTTTCGTCAACTGGGACCCTTTAAAATATTTTCCGATACTGATTCAATTTATTTTCCATGAACGATAGATTTCACTCTCGTTTATCGTCATCATCATAAAATGATGACGAGAAACGAGAGGAAACTCTTTTGTTTATGGAAAATAATTGAAAAAACTTAACGCGATAAATTAATGATTGAATTAGATTTCAATTTGTAGATTTGTTTTGCTACATTTCACCATTCCACTCTTTATCGAAATAGATCATCCAATATGTACAAACACATAGGGACGAAAAACATGTATTTCAATATCAAAGAAAGGCTTTCTGTTTGTTGTAAGATGCCACTATTGGGGACCCCCTGCAGAAATGGAGATTTTTTTGTTTTTTGTGTCTTTCACGGGAGGACACGAACGTGGCCAGAAATTAAACTGCACCAAATCGCCTTATTTGCTATCCTTGTATTTTCCCTCTTTTGCCAATCTTTCTTTTTGGGAGCCTGAAGTTGGTTCCTAGTTCCTAGTTCCGTTTAAGATAAACGGAACTAGGAACCAGACCCTACTTCCGTTTAAGATAAACGGAACTAGGAACCAGACCCTAATTCCGTTTAACATAAACGGAACTGGGAACCAGACCACAGTTCCGTTAACATAAACGGAACTGGGACCCAGACACTAGTTCTGTTTAAGATAAACGGAACTAGGAACTAGACACTAGTTCCGTTTAACATAAACGGAACGAGGAACCAGACCCTAGTTCCGTTTAACATAAACGGAACTAGGAACCAGACACTAGTTCCGTTTAAAATTGAAATAACACTATCAATCGAACTTCGACCAATATACTAGGTCTGCTTCAGAAAAACATCAAAGCCAGACTCTTATAATCGACTGGGAACTCAAATCTGAATCAAGTACAGGAATCGAACCCACAACCTTTCACACGAAAATTAAGACCACCATAGCCTCTATAAAGTAA